GGACCACCAGGGGGCGCGCGGTGCGCCTCGGCTGAGCGTGTTTTCAGGAGCCGCAGAGGCGCTGTTTAACGAAATCGTCACAGGAGTCCCCTGAAAAAGGAAGCGTTCGCTTCACCAATACACGGCCTAGCCGTTGCACTGCAGAAACAAGTCTGCTGTGCGGGGGAGGAATACAGACTCCTCTTTATACGTAAAGCGCTTGTGGGATGAAAAGCAGTAAATGGATTTAGTATTTTGGCCTGGGCGCGAAGAAAAAAAAAATGTAGTCAAATAATAATAATAAAATTACAGTACAGCAATAGTTGATAGATTTAGATATAACGAAGTCACTTATGATTTGAGGATTTATTATTGAATGATTCGTATATCTGTAGAACAACACAAAATCAGGACCAGACTCGGATGCATTGTAATACAAGTGACCACATCCATAGCGTGAGATTCGGACAGAGGGCCAATGCAACCTAATTTTAAAAAACCCCAACCCAACGGTCCCCGGTAACCAAGGGACATGTATAAGCTTCAGGACAGGAACTGAAACCATCAGGGACCGGACGACACGATCTAGTTCAGGGCGAGAGGCGAGAGACGGCCTGGCCCGCCTCCCTGCGCGACCACACACACCGCTGAGCACATGGCCTCTCGCTCTGCTGGGCCCCAGCTCACAGTGAACGACAACAGGAAAGCCAAGCGAAGGTTTTGCCACGGTCACAACCCACCGTTTAATAACAGACATGCGGCACATGACGAAGCCGTGCAAACACAGCTGGGGCTGGCGGCCCGTCCAGAGACGAGAGAACAAAGCCCGGTGCGGAAATCTGAACAGCGTGAGCTCGGTCACCCCGCAGAGCAGGTGGCTGGATAACAGACGTGCAAACACAGCAATGTTTTAGTGACAGAGCCTCTCGGAACAGCCATCGGACGCATACTGCGGTGCAGGCGCGGCCTGAGGTGCACGGTGTTACAAGCCACAGCGGCCTGGTCTTTCCAGAGCAGGGTTTTCGTGAGGATGGGCGAAGCGAGGCCCGATGTGTCTCCTGTGCGATAAAGACCGTGTTGTTAACTGCGCGACACACGCAGGCGGGGAGAAGGGTTCGGACAGGGTCGAGTAATTAGCCATCCCGCATGCTAACCCACTCCGCTCATACTCTTGTGATCGTTTCTTTGTTAGTTCTTACAATACTCAAAGGAGGGATTTCATCGCGTGGCTTGAGGCTGTCGCCGGTTGCTCAGGGCGACTGCCACACACGAGATATCGAGGACAACAGCGCCCCCTATGGGGCTGTTTCCCTGCAGCTTGTTCTGCACCACGAAAAGAAATCTTTTTCTGCCTCAGCTAAAACGCCGTGGCATCCCAGTGGGAAGATGGACGGCGGGGTGATAATGAGTCGTGCTGTGCCGGTTCCCACCCTCCCACGGCCCGAGCTGGCGCACAGATACACGTCTCTGCGCGAGTGGGCGCACGGGAGCCATGCACCAGAAACACGCACAACACCGAGACAGTTTCTAGAGCTTCCGAGAAACACAGAAAAACCGTCTTCCAAAAGGAGTCGGACACGGCAGCTACAACATGATGTGTTCCCGTCTTTACACTTGAGGTGGCGCACATGTCCACTCCAACACAATTAAACAGAAACCCGCTCCCCGGTTTTTCTGTACCTGTCGTGACAGACCGCATTTACTCGGGCGTCCCAGGACTTGCACATGTTTTGTTCCCTGAATAACGGGACACAGTAACTTGTGTTATAGTATAAATATATAATCTATGATTGCGTTCTACATAAGAAGTGATTTGCCCCGACCTTAAACGCAATCAAACGCGAATCTCTTCCTGTCGTGTATGTCACGCACATTAGTTTAATATTGGGACTAAGAAATCGATCACAACCTCTGGCCACTGGAGGGCATTCCATAAAAGATTTATTCTCTGGGACGAAAAAAAGCTGGGCGGCAGTCTTGAGGGGGGGAAGGAAGCGAAATGGTTGATCATTTCTGGCAGAGAAAAATAAATCGACAGACCACAACTGATCTGTCGAAGAATTTTCTACACCCGAGAGCGCTCACATTAGGGCCAGAGCAAACCAACCGTTTCCCCGTGTGTTTTAGATATTGAGAATAAATATGTTTTAATAATATTTAAATATATGGATTGGCATGCTGTTTTTCTGTGTAGGGTACAATATTATATATATATACCTATATAATCTAGCAGGAAACCGTAATTCCCTGAGCACAGACAGCGTCCCATTTATATTCATTTTGTCTCAGGTTGCACTTTATAAACTTAAATACTTAGGAAGGATGGATGAAAAAGTAAATCCTGAATGGTTGTGTCAGGAAAGCAGATATACTGTAGCAGACTATACTTCACAAAGAATCAGTGTTAGTTAAAATGTATGAAGTTTTCCCTCTCCTTCTTAACATAAGATTAATACGTGACTATACTGTAGTCTGGTACTAACAGGAGTTACTACAGTGTTTAGAAATATACATATAAACAGACAACCGTTTTCAGTGACTGTACACAACACCTACAAACACACAGCGTTCAGCGTCTGCGGCAGAATCTGGGTGATGTCCAGTGGGAGGGGTTCACACGCCTGCCCTCAGGGGGACAGGGCTGCGAAGGCAGGGGGGTGATCACTGGCCCTCCTGTGTCCGGGACAGTGGGCCACGTGACTCCTTGAAAGGTTTTCTTCTCGTGGGAATGTTCGAAAGGCAGTGGAGCCTGTGTGTGTTCCTGTGTGTGTGTCAGTGTGGAGACGCGCTCGTCCTCTTCCCACTGCTGTTCCTTCTCATTTCCCTGCTCTTATCCGGATATCAGCTTGGTGGCTCGCTGGTTGGCTTCTGTGATCCGGGAATTGTTGACGATGGCCTGTGAAAACATTGAATAAAAGAGAAATGCACATCAGCTGCCATTATGATTAATAAGACTTAGACCGATGATTGGTCGTTAATTATCCTTGGTGCAATCTTGTGGACAATTAGCAACTTTTATATTTTATATTTAAAATACACAGACTGTTTCAGATTGTAAACACCTTGTTTGCACATAGTGGGATGAAATCGTTCAGTGATGAACAAAATCATATCCTACATATACTCATGTATTATACCGTAAATTATTGGGCGGTGTGCTGGCTCTCTGGCTCAGGATCCGCGCCTGTGGCTGGAAGGTTGCCGGTTCGTATCCCGCGGCCGGCAGAGGAATTTTACTCTCTTGGGCCCCTGAGCAAGGCCCTTAACCCCAACTGCTCCAGGGGTGCTGTACAATGGCTGACTCTGTGCTCTGACCCCAAGCTTCTCTCCCTGTCTGTGTGTCTCATGGAGAGCAAGCTGGGGTATGTGAAAAGACAGATTCCTAATACAAGAAATTGTATATGGCTAATAAAGTGATCTTGTACAAATCTTGTAGAATTATTGCATATTAGCATTATTAGAATTAAAAACAATTGTTTAAGTGTTTGTAAGATTATTGGGTAGTGTTCACAATGCTCTAGATCAATGTCAGGGTTATAACTGACTTTATTACAGTATGAGTCTAATCTAAAATCCATTGCCACAGTGGATATTGACTGGGAATCGTAAACATCCCTGAAATTGTCTATTGCCGTCTTTGTCATAATAATCTATCATTCAGCTCCAGAGGTGTGCATCTCGTTTAGATCAAGGAAACTGGGCTCTGTTCCATGCACCACACGGGTGCCTGTGTCTCTCTCACTGACCTTCTCCATGATGCGATCAATCTGCGTGTTCTGCGTGTCGATCTCGTTGCCCATGTCCAGCGCCATGCTGCGGAGGTTTCCCAGGATGCTGCCCACCTGCTCCAAGTTCTCGTCCATCTCGTCCTCGCGAGCATCGTTTGTCACCCTGTGCGAGAGGGGGCGAGAGGAGAGGAGGCGCTTGGCGTTGCAGGAAGAATGAGAAATGTGTGGGGAGGCCTTGCAGCTGAGGGCACTGTACAGTACAGGACTCTGCGCATGTTCATGGGAACATATGTTTCCTTAGATCAATTCAGCAGCTCAAACCGTGAGTGGGGTAGTACCACAGCTGCTTCCTCACAGATCATAAGTCCGGGTTGATTCTGGCCTGGAGCACCTTCAGCGTGGAGTTTGCATGATTCGCCCTCCAGCTCTGGGGTTCTCCCAGCCCTAAAGGACATTCCGGCTGCTTTGACTGGTCTTGATCTCTGTCCCAGCCGCGGTGTGGCCCCCTCATGCACCCTGTCCTTAGCAGAAGGCATGGATGAAGAAGGCGGTCGTGTGGATTTTTTGAAGGAGCTCTCAAAGAGGAGCTGGCCAGCAGTACCTGCGGATGTGGCCCCCGCTCATGGTCATCCTTTCTCTCTCGTCCACCACACGGGAGGAGGGCTGGCTGGACACCACGCCATCTTGGTTGTTGCCCCACACCTTCTTGTACGCCCCGCTGGCTTCGAAATTCTTCAGCCTGACAGCCCAGAGAGAGGAGGGAGACGTCACAGCCTGCTCTGCCCCCTTTCGCCACTCACATTCTCCGGAGGCTCCAGGGCATCCCCGCTGCCACCATGTCTGTGCTCAGCGCTAGGGAGAGCAGCTGCCATTCCTTCTGCCTGGTTTTCCCAAGCTAGTGAAAGGTTTGACGATTGCATTGCAACGCTTTTGGGTAGGTTTTGCAAAGCGGGATTTACATTTTGACAGAATTGGTTTCGATGGTCATCTCTGTGCACTTCAGTAAGAGTAAATCAGAGAGCAGGAGGTCATTGTGCACATACTGTACTTGTGCTGTCACTGCAAATAAACCAGCATTTCTATTACAGGAATGCCACTGTCCTCACTGCTTTGACACTTTGCCACCTTTGGCATTTATATGATCAAATAATTTTTTTTTACTAGAAATGGATGCTACTGGTTTCAAAATTGGACAGTACAAAAACATGACAACGCACACGTGAACAAATTACACTTACAGCATGTGAAAGTGGGGATCATTTCAACTGATTTGGATCGGTTTCAAAAGATTAAATGTGGCAAACAGCTCTTACATGTACATAGCTTGGCAAATCAAATCCTGGAGTTTATAAGCTTGTTTTACACATGACCAGTTCTGGACTTAAAATGATTTGTGCCAATTTGTGGCAGTCGTTTCTTTAGTACTGATTACATAGCTTCTCATGAACATGTTAAAGTACGATGATATTTCTGAGATGCCAAAGTTGAAAGCAATGAGAAATGCCCCAGCTAATTTCAGTTTCAGTCCTTTTTTTTACATTTTGGAAAGAATAAGGGGACAATAAAACACATTACAAGTGCTTTGTGAGAGCTATCAGGTGGTCAAAAAGCTCTGAGGCAGCAGCAGAAGGAAACGCCACAGAGATTACTGTCATCGCAGCCAGTACACAGTACATACTGTAGCCGAGTACACAAGTAAGGGTCATGCTTTCAGTTTTTCATTGACCTATTTTTATGGTCTGCCTGTGAATGACAAACTTTACATAAGGAACAGGACAACTGAGAATACTGAGCCTTGCCTCTTTCAGTACTATATATTCAACAGGACCTTCTGGCAGCTACAAAGGCGTTTACTTCTGCATGAAGTTTTCGTAATACCCCTCTCCATTTCTCTTTTCAGTTCACCGCGTGCGCATTACAGTAAGCACAAGTCTGACACGCCAAATAAACACACAACATGCAAATATACCAGGTGGAAGTCTCCTCTCCCACCAAAAAAACCTACAACAGACCCCTTCCCCAGCTTCCAGCTTTCAACCAACCAGAGTACGGTCCACTGAACGGTAGATCATTCAACTGAACGAGCACATGCCCCTGACGCATTTGTGCCCAAGGGACAGCTGTAGAAAATCATGAGCCTGAATCCTGATTCGTGGAGACAGAAGCAGGAATGCTTCCCCTGTGAGCTTAGGTTCTATTCACAAAGCATTTACCACCCCACCAATGTGAGTTTTTTTTAAAAGAAAGAGCAGTTTTTCCTTTTCTCCAGTGTGTCTTTATTTAGTCCAATTGATTCCTCATCTTGTCGTTTCTCTCGCTGTTCAAGACCCCCTCTTACAGTATTTTAAAATTGCATTAAAGATGTCTCACAGGCTTTCCTCACCCTTGATCTTACTCATCCAGCTTGCAGTGAGAGGGGTGATGTTTTTCCCCACTGGGTTTCGGAAGGGCGTGATTTGCTCCAACAAACTGCGTCTGTCCAGGTACCTTGTATGGACAATCTACAGGAGCAGGCCCCCTTCTTCACCTCACCGGTCGCCCACGTGTGTTTCTGGAGACTGGGCCGCACGAAGAGCTCGGATACACGGGCCAGGTGTGCTTTGGCAGCCTGTGGCTGTAGAGACATGGCGACGCCCTTTTCTTAGGGAGAGAAATGGCTGGTCGGCGTCGTGCTTGCTGTGTGGTCAATTAGGAACCAGTCCAATTTCTTTCACTGCCTCGTAATGATCCTGTATGAGTCAGGTCCAAGTACCGTTCATCCTTAGGCAAGGTGTGCCTCTCGCTTCCGCATGCTTTTAAGTCACCAGCACCTCAACAGGGGAGATGTTATATGGCTCCACTTAGTGTGACTCACCTAGGAGCTGAGTGGGGGAAACCTGCAGAGTGGGCAACAGTCCAGGACAGGGAACCACCTCAGGCTCTCCAGTTCAGCCTTTGCTAATCTAGAATGTGTACCCAGCCTGCGCCATGATTGGTTGTTTTGTGGAGGAGAGCAAGTCTTTCCTTCTGCAGAAGGGAGTCTTAAACTCTCCTGATCTAAACTAGGAGTGGAAACCTGCAGTTAAAAATGTCTCTCCAGTCAGACAGTGACACATTCCAGCTTGAGGTATTAATCAGGCGTTAGATTATTCTTTTAGATTTTGACAAGCCCAGAGATCTATGGAGTTGTAAATTTTTAATTCTAAGATGACTGGTCTTAATTACCACTTGCTAGGCTGTTCAATAAACCTTGACCGTGACATTTCAAGTAAATCAAAATCGTTGGAGATACAGGCTGCAAACGTGCAGGTCTTGTACAACGTGTAAGGGGTTCCTGAGAAGCTGCGACTGTCTTTTTTTTTTTACAATATGACGATGGAAAGTGCCGTAAATGCTTTGTGAACGACCCGTTTTAAAACTATCGCGGTTTAAAAGCAGACAACCAATGTTTTAACTCCCTTCCACTCCAGAAAGAGCTGCAGGTTTGAATGTGCAGGGAATGGCACTGCTCTACTACAGCTTCAGTTTGTCTTGTGGTGTAGAATTCATGTGTAGTTTTTGCAGTTTGGCTCCGTTGTAAAAACACTGGTTGTCTGTTTTGGAGAGTCTGCATGCAGAGCCCTCTGCTCATTCCCTTTGACGGACGGTGTAGGGAGGGTGCAGGTCACCCTGGCGGGAAGGGTGGGCATGAACATAAGCAGGTCTCATGAAGTCGGTGTCCGTCTACTCCCGACCAGCAAGCACACAGGCAGGCATGCGCTCAGACATGTTTAGAAGGGCCCACGACCCTGCACCTACTTCTCACAGGAACACAGACCACAGCATTTGCCCAGGTCTGTGAGGTTTTTCTCAGCCTCCTTCATGTCCTGGTTGATCTGATCCATGCCCTCCTCAATGTGCTCCAGTTGCTCTGAACAGTGGGAGGTGGGGGAGGGAAATACACAGTTTTCTCTACAAAGCACAACCACAGACCACGAAGGCACTCAGGTTCAACAACACTGCTACTGTACCCAGAGAAGCAAAGGAGCAGCTGTGTGATTAGAAGTCCTTTCTTACTGAAGGTAAAAGGTGTAGGGTAAACAACAGCTTTGTCCTAAGATTGTGCATCTAACCATGTGAAGTTTGAGCCAAACAATGTACAAATCCTTAAAATACAAGGATCTAAAATAGGCCAGATTGTATACCTATGGATCATGGATTGTGGTTAGGGCATTGCGGTTCAGTTTCATTCAATTGGTAACACCATACCCATGTCCACGGTTACAATGAAAACTACAACAGTGCTATAGGGTCCATCACCAGTCATTAGTAAATTGGCTGTGTGGGAGCAGGGTTTGCAAAATAAAGAACATTTGAAAACTGGCAACAGATTATTCAGTCCATTTTCCTGTACATTGTGTGCTTCTCTCACAGCATGTGGTCTTCCTTCTGGGCTCCCAAGGGATTTAAAAGTTTTTTTTAAATCCACATATTTTTAAAGCACTATCTGGATGTCTTCAATTAAAATCAGCTGCACAGCAAACATCTAATCACACAGTTACTGCCCCGCAGTTTCCACTGAGAAGCCACAACAGAGCTGCAGCACTGCGGCTTTTCCAAGGACCAGAGTGCTGCCTGCTGGCCACCGAGACCTGACCGGAGGTCCCCCACTGGTTAGCAGTGGGCACTGCCAGTGGCCAGGTGTACCTACTTGGCACATGGGCAGACACACAGCCCGCAGCACTTGGCCATGTCTGTGAGGTTTTTCTCTGCCTCCTTCATGTCCTGGTTGATCTGATCCATGCCCTCGTCAATGCGATCCAGTTGCTCTGCCACAAGGGGGCAGAATCACACACACACAAAAGACACAGACATGCGTTTAGGGTTGTAGTTCGAAGAAGGGGATTGGTTCCTAGCTTTAAGAGTCTTCATAGGGAAACTGTAACTTCATAGGGCACTGAAAAGGAAAGGAGTTTGGTCACATCTGATCCAACCTGTCTGCTTAAACGAACAAATATTTAAGTTCATGGGAAGGATACTATTAAAGCAAGAACAGATTACAACAGACCTCAAAGCACAAAGCTGTCACAGCAAGCCTCCACATTATTTGCCTTCTTTCCAGGGGCAAATAAAGAGTTTACCATGTCATGCTATGGTAAAAGCAATGTAAATGTAATGCAATGTAAAATGTGTGGTAAAAGTAAAAATCATAGTAAAAATGTAAACACATTAACCACAGGAAATAAAAGATAAGAACAGAAAATGGGGGACCTAGCAGGCTAAAACCATGGTAAACCTAGCAAAATTCTACAAAAATGTAGTAGGGTAAACTGTGGGAGAGAAAGCCCTTCTAAAGCAGTGATTTTATATGTTACAATGCAGTAGTGTTAAGAGACAGTCTAGTGTAATCCTAGGGGCGCGTGTTGAATTTAAGTTCCCCAGAGTGACAGAAGACAGGGTGTCTAAACGAGACAGCGGTACCTCCTTGCTCATCCAGCATGACCAGAGTTCGGATCCCTGCATCTTTGCTCTGGTGAGGAAAAAAAAAAAATGTTCTTAACATTAAAACGCTGAACATACCCAGCCTGGTAACATAAAGGTCGAGTGAGGGCATAAGTGCCCATAACTGTATTTCACAATACAGCTGCACTGTCGAACAATCAGGCTGCTTTGTCTGGACAGTGTGTTTCAGTGGAGCTTAGTTCTCTAAAATCACTGCACACTGTAAAAGAGGGGAGCTGAGAGAGATCCCATGGACAGCGTGGTGTGTCAGGGCAGGCAGGGGATGGCTCCCTCTAATGTGTGCCCCGAGAGGAGTGTGGTGTAAGTGCAGTGAAGGCCTTCTCAGAAAGAAGGCCAGGACTGTGGGCTTGTCTGGGCTCCATTGTTCCCATCAGAGGGAGATCACTCAGGGTCGGAAGCAGTCTTGCGTGTGCCCACATCACGCTTCGACGGCTCGTGCACAGGAACGGTGCAGCTCTTGAAAGTGTAGCTAGCAGCTCAAGGCATCGACCTCTCTTTGTGGGCAGGCCATTATGGAAAACAGTATGGGCTCTTCCCTTTCAGCTGTGCCTGCCAGCGAACGCGTCTAATGGATAGGACAAGTTGTAAAAATAGAGCTGCAGCTCCTAAACATATTTCTGGTTCAAGTGGCAGACATGGGCAGCAATAAACAACAATCCCACTGACCTCAACGGAAATATGCAAGAATCTGAGCAAAAGATAGTCCCTCGAGCTTTTATTACTGTATTTAATTTTTTTTCTCTGCATGAAAAGAGGATGAAAATAAAATGAAAAAAATGTTTTTTTTTCCATTTTATTTTGGAAGAAACCAGGCAGCTGAAATATTATCTCTTTGTGTATCTCTCTCTCTCTCTCTTTGCCGTTCCAGAGGAATAAGAATACGTAATACTGACAATGTTAAGAACGGGGTCACATGAAGCCCCCGTCCTCAATAATTTGGGGGAACAGATCACTTCAGGCAAAGGAAGATTTCCTGGGGAGCTCCATTGCCAAGACCGTCTTACCTCTTCCACCAACTGCAGCATCCGTCGAGTGCTTTCCAGAGACTGGGGAGGAACGAAAGGATTGTTAATCATCTGCTGGAAAAACAGACTGCTTGCGGATATGAGAGCAGAAGAACGGAGGAAATTGAGAACATAGAAATACAAGATATTAGTGTCAACATCATAAAAGCCCATGACACACGCACTGTAAAGAGAGATCTAGCTTTAATGAAAGCCCTGTGGAGGGACTGAGGTGTTCTCGAGTTTTGGCCTAAACTGGCGTGGCTGCAGATGGTCTGGTGCCCCAGGGGAGAGGAGCCCAGGGGCTGCTGGGAGGGGCGTGAGGACTGGGCTGGTGGAGCAGAGATAGTCAGGAAAGCTGGAGCGAAGCTGGTTAATCAGGGAGCAGCTGACCGGTCGAACTGGGGTCTTGTCCTCCTCTCTGACTTTCACTGCAAACTCTCCTATAGGAACTGTTAGGGGGCACTTCCCTGCACTGATGATGAGACAGGAATTCAGAAAATTAGGAACACAACAAGTTGACCAAAAGCTTAATGCAGTCTATTTCATACATATTCCCAAATATAACTTTTTCTACTGCACTTTGTTTTCTGGTTCAGCTTTGTGTTTAGACTTGTTTTCTAACTGTATAGGAACTTTTATTTCTTCTGATCACATACATCTCTAGGCCAGAAAACAAAATGAAGACAACCTTAAATACTGAAGCCTTGAAGCCGAACTGGCTACTGTAAATTCATTTAGTCACTTTATTGACTAAAAGTCAATTTATTCAGGTGTCAGGAAAGCAAGGTTGATGTCTCTGATTTCTGGAAGTCTCCACTCCTCCTGAACCTTGTTTGAAACCTCAGTTAAGCTCTCACAAAAGGTTAAGTCTTTTTAGACTCACCAGCTACATTAACAGCGACGAATGATGTTTGATGGATTTTATTTTTTTAGTTTCAGAGTAGTTTTGAAAATTCTCAATCAATAGTCCAGACTAGGTTCTTGTTTACATTTATGAAAGAACACTAAAATAATTTATATCATCACTTCTTAAGTGGGAGAGGTATACAATTTCTGGCCAAAAAATCTTAGACACTCCTATTTAGTTACAGTAAGTCAGTACATGCAATTGTTCTGTCATGGGGTATTTATAGAGAAATGTGTTGCACTGCAAAGATTCAGTGGCTTTTCTATTTACAGTAATTGTCCTGTGGCACAATATTATGGCACAAGGCACAAAAGGTTTATTAAACTCATTTTAATACTGCATCGATTTTCACGTTTTCGATTTGATTTACATGGAACAAGATAAAACCTTAGTGTTAGTTTTACTTCTCCCCCTGCCTTACACAAAGGTTGACCCATGAAAGGATAAAAATCTAACCTGATCCCATTGACCTCACGTGGCCTAAAAACACTTCAGTCAATATCCGTGTTCAAAATATCATTTGCATTGAAAGCTTTGTCTCCGAGTGGGGAATTTCATTTCACGGACAAGCTGTACCTCTTTTTTATTCTACTTTCAGATGACCTGTATTTCATTAGTGTGGTTTAAAGCTGAAAACTCCCCTGGGCCTGGTGATACTAGCGAGTGTCATCAGCGATAGGGATGAACGCCAGTAACCCCAGACAGGAGGAAAAACAGGAGGGAATTGGGAGTGTGGTGATGTCACTGCAACTGTAGCCCAGTCGGTGAGACGCAGCCATCGCCTGTTACTCCTGGTATAACAGGGGACCTGACTCAGCACCTGATGTCGGATCCTGCAGAGAACTACGGCAACCAGGCAACAACATCAACTACCTCTTCACTCCTTGAGCGTTGGAAGATGGAAATCAAAAGGTTTGCAGCCCAAACAGGAAATCAAGAGAAAAGCAGGGGTTATTAATAAAGGGCACTGCAATCTTTCAGGCCATCTTTCCTGTAACCATTAAGTGCAATAACAGAGACATTATCTCAAACGGAAGTTTATGAGCATTAAGGGATTTCTTTGGGATTCTGGGAATAAAACAGATTGTGGAAAATCACAAACAAAAGCCCTGTATTGGCAATTTCTGAGAAACCGTTTTACTCTTTCATGTCCCTGATGCACAGAGGGCAACACGTCACCGAGCCGCAGCCGCGGAGATGAGCTGGGCCCGTGGAGGTGAGCTGCAGGATGAGGTCGCCGGTCAGGTCATGTGAAAGCAGCCCCCCCAGTCCAGCACTTACCTCGTCTGTCACCTGATTGGCCCGTCTCTGCAGCTCCTCCAGCTCTGTCTGCATGGCTGTGTCTGCGGCCATCCTGCCCTGAGACAGACAGACCAAGAGGGGGTTTCCTTATTCACCAAGCCCTGGAAGCCACACTCAGTTAGTCCTGTCAGGTGCACGTCTGAGCTCCTCAAGACTATTAGCTAGCTGTTAGGAAGAAGCATTACCAATTCCTATTAAATAACACTTTCTGAACCAAAGTTAGCTAATTGCACTGCATAAAATGGGAATTAATTTTTAGTATACAATTAAAATTTACTGAAATGCATTTGTAGCCTATATATCACACTTCTTTCACAAGCTATGAATTCTGAGACATAATGTCACAACCCCACAGCCTCCAGGAAGTTAACTTTCAAAGAGCAGTCAAGAAAAACAAGTAAACAAATTTGATCTCAAAAAAATAATTTGAATTATTTGTATCTTTGCTAATGAGAATTAATATAATAATAATAATGTCTTAACATGTTTTCTATTATTTAAAAAAAACAAACCTTTGGAAGCAATATTACAAAAAGATTGCTTGACCTCCTGGTATCATCCCGTTTTTATGAGTCTAAATAGTGAAATATGCAGTTAAATTCTGGAAGAAAAGTATTAACTAGGGGTGTTATTAGCATACTGGTAGTCTCAGCCATGGCATCAAAATCACTTCTATCTTGCTCAACGAGTTGGACAAGAAGCATCAGAAAACCTCTGCTTATCCAAGCATAATGTTTAATCAACACACACGAGATCCAAATCTATTATTTTGCCATTCATATGCATTTTTATTATTCGTCAAATGAATTTTTATGAAAAGAAAAGAGCTATTGCAAATTATAGCCCAATAACGACTTGAACGATGAGGGATAATTACTGCCTAGTTGTGTATATTAAAGGAAGTAAAAAGGCCCCCACTTCGTATCTGCTTGGCTGTTACTGTCTCTGTATTATCCATGCCTCCCACTCACAGACCCAGTGAGAGCTGGGAAAGCAGGGAATGCCAAGAGCTTCATGGAGGCTTAGGATGAGTTAAAAAAAAAAGAGAAAAGAAACACAGAAAATTTTGCTGTCAAAAACACAGAACACAGCTGCAAATTGCTCACTGCAAAGGCCTCGCTGGAACTTGCACTGATTCATTAACACCTCTGTTGGCAGCCTGCTTCCCTGCTCGCGATTCATGTGCACTGAGAGAAACAGAGGACTCCTGTCCCGGAGCGGGTTAGTGGTAACCGGTGCAGAGCTCCAAGGCGTGACCTCCCCACCATCTCCATGCATTTATAAAACAAGCACGTTTAGCCATGATATGCAACATAGCTGCACAGGGTACTTACCTGTAGGATTTAATCCAACAGGAAAGACTGCGCATTGGAGAAGTTTCGGGGATTCGATCTCTATGGCCTTAATAAATGCAATAATGCAAATCTTGCAGAGCTGGCACAGCACCGCCTAGCGAGAACCTGAGGCCCAGTTCATTAGTGTAATTTATTTATATATAGTTATTTAAATAAGTCAGCTGACTTTAAAAGGCACAAGAGAACAAAATTTCTGTTACCACCGCAGTTGTATTCAGCTCTGCTCTCTGCTTTGTTTTAACAGGAGGTTTCTCAGACATGGTGCGTGATTTGTGCTGGGTGAACGATTCCCGATACTGGAGACTCCTCGGGGTCCAGTTCTCATCTCCTGCAGCGATCACACGCATTTCCAGTGAGAATATCACATGCTCAGTTCCTTTCAAAACACCTATTACTGCGGCCCCTCTGTTCCCTACCTGAGGAATTCAAACCTGAATCAATGTAGATTCTACCATCAAGTAATGCAGGTATGCACGCTGCTAAAAATAAACTACTGGCAGAAAATTGCATATTTAATACAGTTATAAAACTAGTCAGCAGAGTTGTACTTGATTAGGTTCTATTGCTGAATTCACAGCACCTGGAGTGCACTGTATTCTTCACTCTTCATCAGTTGTTCCCTAAGAGTGTTTACCACAGTAAATATGTGAACTGTTTTTGCAGTGTGACTTTTACCTGTTGTAATTCATGCATTTACTCTTGTTTCCCCGAGTTTAATCTGTGTTCATCATGCCGCTCTCATCTTTACATCTTGATTGCAAAATGATATACTCCAAGTATGTAGTACGTTACTGCATGTAAGTTTTGGTACAGCACTTTGAACATTTATTAGGACTATATTCTTATTTATGAAACCCAGACTCTACAAAAGAAACTCAAGCACTCACACCTACACATACTGTACAGTATGGACACATACAATACACAGGTACACACACACTCACGTACACAATACACATGCCCACGTACTCCCACACAGAAGCACACTCTCCTCTTTCTCGATACAATCGAGCACTGGCAGTGCATTGGACTACAGCGAGGTTATAATTATACACTAATTACCACTTCACCCAGGCAACATGCTGATCCTGTGCTGAGAGCTCAAGAGAGAGACAAAGACAGGAGCAGAAAGAGAGAAGACTGAGAGAAAAAAAAGTCATTCATTTAAACAGGAAACAAATGATATTGCAACCAAATGTTCCACTTCGTGAAAGGTCACACTAGATCAAAGCCCTTAGTTCTTCCAACTAGTTATCTGTTCTACAGAAGAGGTCTCAGTACTCACATTGGAAACTTACTTTAGATCTGCACAACCCCACTTCCTTTAAATTGGCATCCCAAAAATAATGACACCAATTCCCGGTTTTCCTACTTTGATTGCTCACCCAGTGTATACAACGTCAACCTCCTGAAGGGCTGTTCACATCAGATTGTAAACGAACAAACATCTATTCATGCTGCCTGTTGTGCTTGATGTTTTCTTCAAGCTGCTGTATTGCACTAAACCACCAAAGGTACATAATAAGCACTTTGAGAAGCCACCTTTAAAGGCGCTATATAAAATAAAGTTGATTATTATTATATTATTTCCCCAATTATATCTGCAGCCTTCAGAGTATAAAGGGCTGTTTTAACCCACTGCAGGCCCCAGTAATCTCCTTCTTTCTCTCTCTTTGAAGAGACATAATGCACCTACAGGATGTGCGAGGGCCTGAGTAAACAGCAGTTTTAATGAAAGAGCAGCAGAGCTGCTGGCTGAGGGGCCAGTTTGCTCAGCATCAGGTGACGGTGGGGGCAGAGCACGCGATCACAAAAAGGCCTGCTAAAACCCTCCCAGGGCCACGCGCTTGGAGAGGCTAGTTTTCCTAAAGCCTTTCTAAAAGGCTTTAGGAAAACATCAGAAATGCAGAAAACACGAGTTCCAAACCGCTCTCAGTTTTTAATCAAGCTGAAACGATATCTGATATTGTCTGCCATTCCCATGACTTCAATATTACACCGGGGGCGCTGAAGTGGATGGATTGGTACCTCTGTGGTGAGAGCAGCTGCCTCGGGAGTCTTGGGTTCAAGGTTTGATTCCAGACTGGGGTGGCTCCTGTCTGACGTTTGCCTGTACCCCCATGTGTCCGTGTGGGCTCTCTCTTGAACTGCCATTGGGAACTGGCCAGTCGGGGTCTGTAATTGTCCTTGTGAGTGTGTGGACTGCTTGTGATGGACAGATATATTCCCTTCATTGCCTGTGCTTCTGGGATAGGCTCTGGGATTCTGCATGGATTTATTCATACCGGGAAGGCTGTGCTGGAGCACCATGTCATGCTGATCTGTTATAGTGCCCTCTAGCGGATGGCATTACAGTATGGGAATGTGCTCCCTGAGGCCCAATTCATAAGTGTAATTACATTATTTTGCTGAATTTCTGAAGTACTTTATTACATAAGCAAGGTGACTTAAAAAGGCACCAGAACATGAAAGGATGAATGGATGGAGTTCAGGTTATACCAACAAGAACGGCAAATAAAGCCTTCTTGCTTTATTTCCATTCAAGATTTTAATTTATTTTCCACAGACAGCTGATGAGGGAAAGCTGATCTGTGTTTTCAGCTCTGCCACAGCACATACTAGCAGCAACACTGACTGTCCATTGACACGTTCAGGTTAAAATGTTGTGGCTACATTTGAATCCTTTATGAGTTTTACCACAGTTTGTTTTCTGAATGTCACTGCTCTTTTTTTCCCCACACATTAACATCTGCTTGACAGACATGCTGAAATAACACTCCCACAGCTGTCATAGCAGAAAAAACACAAAAGGCATTTTCACATTGCAATTTGCTTCCAAGATGTCAAAGGGCTTGAATAACCTGTCCTCACAATAATAATTGTAATTATCATTATTTCTGTCCTTAAAAAATGAATAAAGATTTCAAACACGAAACACATGCTGAATCACAGCTTGAGAGGCAAGGAAATTGGCACCTAGGGGATGCTCAGCATTTGAAGATTTCAAACGCCTGATTAGGCGGAGTGAAAGGTATGTAATTATCTTTTACAAGAGCGCATCAGTCTGCGAAGTGCATTTTTCTCTGCTCCTATTCGTAAAATATTAAAGGCGATTTCAGGGCCTCTCAGAAGACCACAGGGTATGTCCGGGGGAAGGAGCTTCTGACCACTTCTTTTCCTCCATGCAAATTTAACTGGACAGCAGGCTGCAGATCACTCTTCAGTTAAATCCAGCTTTCCAGCACTCCCAACGTGATGCCCAAAGAGTCTCAGAACTGTAATATCTGTGGAATCGCCTGAGAGTTCCTACAACCATACTGTCATTCCCACAGCATAAACATCAGCCTCTGGCCCCACACTGCTGTGCTTCAGAAAGTCCAGAACCCAGACCCCGCTGTGTGTCCTTGTATGGGATCACTGTCACTGATCGATTTCGCACAACTTCTGATTTCCCCCAATAGTGATGCGATTCAGCGTGGAACAAGAACGAGGTGAAAGGCAGGCTGTCCGAAGCTGGGCTGACACAAGCCTTGTCTTTCAGCTGTGGGACTGCAGAGAGGGGTTCAGCTCAGGAGCAGACCGGTTGCATTTCTGACAATACAGCACCACGTCAAACTCACCCTTTCAGACTACATCTTCCAATCTTCTGGATAGTGCGTGTATTCCTGCAACTTGGCTAATTTAAATAGCATTGAACTGCCTTTGTTTGACTTGCTTTAAATTGTATCTTTAGAGCCCGTGATTCATCATACATGTACCTACTACTGTAATGAATCATTTGTTGTATTATGTTGATTTTTTTTCTACCAAAATAAACTTTAGTCCACAACAGACATCTTACAATGAGTACACACTCTAACAAACCATAAACCTCTACTCAATTAAAAAAATATCGGGTGATTGTCCATTTTCAATCAAAGCAAGTGGATTCTGGGGCTGGATTTGCACAATAAAAAGAGTTCCTCTGAGCCCCACCACTTACTGTTTTCAATGTCATGTTGAAATGTTGCAACTAACACTTGTCTTTTGGCATACAGTATGCTGATCTACAGTACATCTTTGGTGCAGTCAATTCATTTTTTTCCCTCTTTGTTCAGGGTGAAGTGAGAATCGCCTTCACCAGGTGTAAATTTGCTGTCACAAAGAAAGAGGAGCTCTTGAAAAGGAGTGAGCTAATGAGTGTCTGCCTCGAGGGCCAGGGAAGCTCCCTGCGGGCGTCTCTGCATGGCCTCGTATTGACACCCAGCAGCCCCGCTGGGCGCAGACTGTCTCCCTCGCGGGGGCCCGGCTGGCAGGAGGTGCTCCTTGCAGAGAGGAGATGTTCTCCAGGAGCTGCGAGTTCCCGACACCCTGCAGCCTGCTGGCACGGCGCCCAGCGGGCAGACCATCATTACTGCTCTCACAGCCATGGGCCCAAGAGCCCGGCCACACAGTAACGCCAAGCACGGCAGATCTTTACTCATCCGCATGGCACACGGGCAGCACCAGCACCTCACAGCACCAGGGTTCTGGGTTCGACTCCGGCTCTGTATTCCGCACGATTGCATGGGTTTTCCCCAGGTTCTCTGGCTCCCTCCCATTAGCACCTCTGAATCGTGTCCTTTAAGCGTGCCCTGGGTGCCCTGTGACAGACTGGCACCCTGTCCGGGGTGTAGCCACAGCTGGGCCCTGTGCCTGTCGGGTCATGCTCGAGCCCAGCAGAATACAAAAGGATGGGCGAACGTACTGCACCTACAGTATACCTCTCCACTGACGTCTGAACAATCCGACTGGAATAAAACTAGGAAAATGGCTTTTTTAGAGAGCGTTGGGGTAACTGCTGACTTCATATGTTTGTGAAGTGAATACATAACCCCCCCTCCACCCCTGTTAAAAATACCCATGGCGAGGAATTAGCTCCAGCACAATGAGATTCCTGCAGTTCCAGCAGGGAGCAGAGCAGTGCCATTATAAATAGCTTCCATTAAAAAGCCACTTCGCAGCAACAAACATTCACCTGGCTTTCCTGAATTTCTTTACACTTTCTGCATTCCGTTTTCTCGCAGGGAATCTGCACCTGTGCTGCTGTTCAAACACTCTACCCTTTCGAACTGTCCGACGGAGAGGGAAAGACCACGCGCTAAATCTGAAGATACACAGGTGGGGATTTTAAATATTGCACAGTGTGACTGGAAAATAAGATTAATACATCATCACATGGCAGGAGTGATGTGCCACTTCTATCTTAAGCCCTGTTCACAATATTTAACAGAAAGGATCAAAAGACTATATTTATCTGAGTAAACAATCCATCACACCCTGAGCTTCTTTTTTATTTCCTTGTGAAACACCCGTCTCCTGTGTCGAAGTCCTTGCTCCACAAGAGCAGTTCACAACAGTGGGCAGCAATTGAGAAGAAGGGCAGTGTGAACATAGACAAGGGATTAAAGCCACTGCTCTTGTCTCACCGCCTCAGCGGCTCCAGAAAATGCTGCAGAACTCAGAATTGCTTTAGGACATCGCTATAAGGTAGAACTTATTTTGAGACCCCGGCTACAATGGACTGCTCTGCTGACGATTATAAAGAAAAAGTCTACACAAAAGCAATAAAGCTCCCAGCTGGGACTGTTTAAAGAGCGAGCAGGGCAGTACTTCAATAGCAAACATCTGTTGCTGAAATGCATTATTCATGAAGACCATGCTCTTTATTCAGAAGAAGTGTGCAGCACTTTGTCACCATACTTCTCCATTTCAACCCATTTACAACCCATTAACGCTGCACATTAGACTGCTGTTGAGGTACAGGTCTGCCTCTGCCTGGAATTAGCACCTGCATCAGTCTAAGCCCTGTGTGTTTTAGGACAGCGCAGTGCACGTTTATTTCTCTTTTCCCAACACAGTATCCCGCAGCACTGCGGAGACAGCCAAAGCATCTGCTGCACGCTTGCTTTCTGTTCTCTAAGACTGGGGAACTGGGCACCACACATCCGCTTCAGCAGAAACATCCCTCTCGGAAAGCCTGCCATTTACAAGGAGACTCGCAAGACAGGGAAATGTGCACAGATGTGTTTTTACACAAACACCTACATGGAGCTGCCAGACCACCTTATCCTCCGCCCCACAGAAGAGAACTGTGCAGGCTGTGGGACACCACATTCTCCCTGACAGGGCTCTCTGTTGGGCACAGCAGCACTTAACTGACACTCAGTCTGGTGAGATTTTCCTGGATGGTTTCCTAAAGCACATTCAGACATCTGTTTGCCATTAATTTAACATTTCGCAGGCACTGCAATGTTGAAAGGCAGGCATGGACATTCGCTGCCCCAGAGGCTCCCATGCGAAGGGCAGGTGAAGACCTTAACGCACAGAGAATGGCCTTGACCGCTTCTGGGGCGCCCCTCCAGCAAAGCTATACAGCTATACAGCTATGGAGCTCCTGGGGCGAAGCACCTCACTCAGGGCACATCAGCACTGCCCGCGTCAGGGTCTCGAACCCACAGCCAGTCTGTTCCACTACACTGCAGAAGTTTTATCTATGCAGAAGGAAGTTTCTTACTTCTAATGTAGAAACTCAGGAGTCTCCTCGTTGCGATCTATTTTCATCAGGGGTCACATGCTGTTGCTGGGAAGGCTGGAGGAGATGACTTGGCATGTGCTGGGTTTCAAAATGACTTCATCGGTGGGAAATGCCCCCCCGGCAAAAGATCATCGTGATCGTGAATAATCAAATTAGGCGTTTTGTTTATTTTAATGCTGATGATCGTTTGTTCGAAATTCTGAACCAGTTGACCTTTTAAAGGTTGCTCACATGTGAACTATGAGGTGCTGGTTGTTCACACTGATGGTGATGAGCCATTTAAAATCTCAAGTAGGGAGCTGGATCAGCAAGCATTTAGCATTTAAGGTTTATTCCTTGCTAAGAAGAGATCAAAAGAAGCACAATGTTTTAGCGGTGGAGCTTTCTTATGGCGTCTTCAACAGTAAAGAAAAAACCTTTACTTGTTCATTTAAAATCTCTGAACTTCACCCCTAATGACAAGCGTTTTTCTACTACGTCTTTTCTTTTACACTTCACAGAATCGATTTTTAGATGTGGTGCTCCTCCTAGGTTACTCCTGCTCCTTAATATGCTTGATCATGATGTGGGGTGCAGCAGGCAGGGCTGAGGCTCAGGACTCCCAGCTGCAAGCCGGCGTGCTCCAGTGCCAGACAAGACGCTGCTGCTCACTGTACTCGGGCCGAGGTACTTCACTCAGAAGCGCCTGCAAAATGCCCAGCTCTCTGAATGGATACACAAGTAAACCGCTTAGGATGTCCGCCTCAACCATAAAATTAATTATAGGAAAAGGTAACTCAATTATCTGAAATGCGCTCGCCGTTGGTTTAGGCGATTTTGAACATGTTGTTCAGACGGGTTTCCATGCCCGGCTAACTCAATCCGAGTTATCCCCGGGATCAATCGGCGACCACAGCTGTATCGACCAATGCCCAGCTGTGGAGTCTGCGCCGGTCCGGGGACACTAGGAGAACAGCCGCTGGAAACAGCGCAAATTCTAATCTTTTAGGAGTAACAAACATGCAGTCCAGTTTACGGCCAACAACAACAACAACAACAACAATGATCAAAACAACTTGGTTATTGGCAAGTTTTATCAATCCACCCTGAACTGAGACAATGTTACTTGAAATATTCGCATATGACAAGCACGCGAATATCTATCCGGCCGAACCGTCTCTCCGCAGGAAAACACGAAAATGCGACCAGTGCAGCCAGTACATCTGCTTCGAGCACAACCAGCGCTCGGCTCCTTCTCCCATCTCATAACGCCCCCAAACAGCTCCAGCGAAGCGACTTCCAGAATTCACCTCGAGCACGAACCCAGAGTTAAAAACACAGGTGAAAGGGGACGGGTTGCCTCTTTCACTCGTTCTAACCTGAGAGGCAACCGGGATCTGTGTACGTTATCTGACCCCGTGCTGGCCAGTCATTTCAGAAATTATTTAACGAAAAGTTCGCTTTCAGTTACCGGAAACAAAAACAAAGTTAGGGAAGAAACTTGTGTTTTACAAGTTAACTGCCGGCATGACGTTCTTACCTGTGGATGCGGGCTGTTTTCCTAGTCCCTGTGAGGCTGGAGACGAGAAAGGGCTCAGCCACCTGTATTTGCTCGCCGCCTCTGTGCCTCCGCCAGCGTGCAGTCTCCGACCTCGCTTCCTGCAGGTGCCGCAGACGCGTCTGCGATTGGAACGGCTGCGGTGGCAGTCAGCCCAGAGGTGGGGGTGGGGCCGAGCGCTATAGGCTCGCCCCAGTGAGCTCCAGCCCCTCCTCCCGGGCGGGGTCCGGCCCACGAAGCGCTCGGAGGCAGGTTGCCCCGGCAACTCGCACCTGCGAGCGTCACCTGCGGCGTGTGGCCGAGCTGGCCGGGGGGCCGGCCTGATGGTTTCGCGGGACGTGCGGTGTGCCAAGGCTGTGGGTCAAACCCGTGCAGCTGAGTGGGCAGCTGTCTTGTCGATAATTGAAGTCCCGCTCAGGGCTTTACAGGGCCTGTAAAAGGATACTGTGTTTGCACCCTGTTAAATCCCAGGCTCTCTCCCTATCTGTGTGTCTGTGTGTCTCATGGAGAGCAAGCTGGGGTATGCGAAAAGATAATTCCTAATGCAAGAAATTGTAAAGGGTTAATAAAGTAATGTTAAAAAATCGGCAACCACGCGTTCAGATGATTTTAAGTGATATGTTGGGCTGAAATGTTTTTGTAACGCGACGTTCTGTTATTTACAGCTGCTCCTGTTGATATTTGACTGAAGTGTTTTGCTCACGGGTAGAACACCTGTGTCCCACCTGCGGGGATTTGAACCTGCAGCTCTGTAGCAGCTAGTCGAGAGTTTGTGGTCACGCCCTGCTCTCCATCGTGTGAAGAAAACTCATTTGCTATAATCAACACGTACAAACCATCCGAACCGAATTTTACCCTTGGAGAAACCTCCGGTATAGTTCTTATTCACGCATTGAAATGATATAATTAATATCATTTACAGCTGTAAGCTGTAACAAAAAAAGTTTCACGTGGTCTTCAGTTCAAAGGCGTGGCCAGTCCTGCGATGGCAGAAGTCGCTGGAGATAACAAATGAAAGATTACAATATAGACATTTTTCGTTTTTTCATTCCGTCGCATTATTTTCAACGCGGAATATTTTTCACATGCTTTGGCAATCACAAGTTATTAACTGTTTGCACGTTACAGTGTGTATATGGAGAGTATTTGAAATATATATATAAAACAACTTTTCCTGTCTGCTCCTGGACTGACACAAAAGACAAAAAGGCTCATTGTAAACGGCGGCCCGAAGTGTGTGTGAACGCGCGTCATCAATCATGACTCAACATGGAAAGAATTGAACTCTTAGGATTCAGGAGATTAGACAGCAATCAGAGCCCAGAGTCTGTTTTAATATAGGTCCTTATCTTTTCATGAACAGCCGAGCATCACGCCGTCAAGGACTGGAACTGAGCTAATAGCGCGGTCTGCTTTTGGGTCTTATTGAAACAGGAACTGTCGTCAGAGTCACGTAGACCGCCAAACAGCCGCTGCATTTACAAACTGAAGTGGGCAGTGCCTCGTCTTCAATGGGTAAAGGGTTTTCTGATCGGTGCTCGCTTAAAAGGTGACCTTTACGACACCAGAAAGGGCTCCGGCGCCGCTCGGTGACAGCTGTGCTGTGCGGAAAGTCCCTCTCGCTGCGTGTGCGCGGCTTCATGCGCGCCTGCGACTCTAAACTGTACCTGCTGCTCTCACGGAGTTCTGCCATTCATGGAAAACACTCCATCGCTACTGCTGTCCACTTCGCGTTCACCTGTTCGTCACACCTTTCTGATATCGATATCGATACTCGTAAAACGCAGATTCTTTCCGGTTTTGTTTCCCGGAGATGGAAAACTGCGAACTGGCGTGGAGGTCACGGCCGCCGGGCAGCTGGTGTCGGGCAGGGATCCGAAGTGCCGTTCAGCTCTGTTTGTAGTTGGCTCTGTCTAGCCCGCTCCTTATTCCTCACTCCATCCACACGTTTTCTGACCGCTTTATCCAAATCAGGGCCCCAGCAAGCAACGGGCTCAAGGCAGGGCACACCACGGTCGGGACACCAGTCCATCACGGGTCACACACACGGACACAAACACCCACGCGCTCGCACCAGAGCCAAAATTCCCAGCAGCCAATTAACACACCAGTACCCACCAGAGCACATGTGAACACGGGGAGAACATAGAGACTCCACGCAGACAGCATCAGAAATCGAACCCAGGGCCCCGGCACTGAGGGGCAGCACCACTACACCTCTGTAACTGACACTTACTTTAGTTTTAATTTTAGTAATATATCTAGTTTAGCACTTGGAAGTTTAAACTAGTTTCAATCTGTTGGTGAAAGGTCATAGAAATGATATACATACTTTTTTTTTACGTATATCTGAAGATGTATATACCTGAAGAAGGCTCCACAGCCAAAATGCTGCATTTCCTTTCTTTTCAGCCTGGAATAAACCCGTTACCTGTTCCTTTGCAGACTTTTTTATAATAGTTATGTTAGAATAAGGTCTAACATATGGGTGTATTTGTGGGTAACAGTGAAAGGGCTACTGTCCACCTTTTACCCAATTCACAAATCAATCCCCAGCTCTTCAACATGCTTGAGCTCTACATTCAACACGAGCTCCAAACATTCATTTTGTGAAATTAATTTCCAAACCTGTCACTAGAGTATACTATCTCAACAAAGCAACTTCCTAGATCAATTAAGGCTTCAGTGATCTAATGAAGGTGGGCTGGGATGAAACCCAGCAGGTGTGTGGGTCACCAGGACCAGGACCCGCTGCAAGTAAGGAAAGCACAGGGCACAGCTCCAGTCTTCGAGGGCTAGAGCCACTTCAAATCATCACCTGTCAAACCAGAAACTGGTGCCCTTAAGCTACGACCAGGCCGGGGAAGCAATTCACAACAGAAGTGGAACCTCTCGGTCTGGAGCAGTACACCACTGGGCTAAAGAAACTGGAAGGGTAGCAACTGATAATCATCCTTTTTTAATAACTGAGACTCCTCTTACACTTAATGTAAAATAATAATTGGAAAAAAAAAGGTATTTTACAAAACTTCTCTCTCTACTGGACGGAGTTAGAAGAACAGCCAATGCTCAAGCAGCTGAAATCCAGAACAGTTGCTGCTCTTGTGCAAGGTGGCCACCTACTGCTAGAACTGAGCACTGCAACTGCCCAGATCAGAACAAAAGCCATTTCAGGAGGTACTCTCTGTAGCGAACAGCACAGGAATGAGACAGGACACACAGGCATGTCTGGACAGCAGGAGTGTACAGGGGTGTCAGACTCAGGTCCTGGAGGGCCTAGTGTCTTTGGGGTTTTGTTCCAACCTAAGTTATCAATCAAACACCTTAATTATTTTTTACTTAACACGTACAGTATAGGATGTTTAAGGTCTTTTACAGTTGATAAAACGTTCACTCAATTCAAAGCTCAATTACCTATAAAACTTTGTAGACACTCTGGGGCCATGTTGGAAATGGTCTAATTACACACCTGAATCCACTACGTCACAGAGTTTGGTTAGAACAAAGCACTGGGCCTTCCAAGAAGGAGTTCGACACCCCCTGCTGTAAAGAGCTCATAAAGCTTTAAGTAAAAAAAAAAACTGGAAACCCTCCACTAAATCTATTTTCAAAACAATGTCATCATTTACAAAACACAACGTCTCTAATGTTTCTGGACCTCCTCCAAATAAGCCAGTTAAAATAAGAAAAAAAAAGCTTTAATGGTTTTAAACTACATCTGCCACTAGGTATGAGTATACATGCACAGTACAGGTGAGAGGGCCAGGAGCTGGTGTTAAGCACATTGCAGGTTGTAATGTGGCACAGGGCAGTTACACAGAGGGTGGGTTGGTTCTATGGCTTCTTTCTGTGCAGGCACTGTATCTGCATCGCTGTTCAAGAATACATTGTCAGCTGCAGCCACTGAAAATGGGAAAAAAAAACAGATGTTAGCTCTGCGCACACCATCTTCTGGTACAGAGACTTCATAAAGAAATTTGTGCTGTTGGAGTTTTACTGTCCGCTCATATTCTCTGTGTTTGCAGGTGTTCTTTGTGGACATGCAGGACAACATTGACATTGACGAGAAAAACTGCTTGAAAATACCTTGAACAGTGGAAAGTGAAGCTGAAGGAATTTGAAGAGTAACAAGGTCAATATCAAGGGCATACTGTATCACCGGTCACTGACATAGCATATTTACCTCCTGAATATTGACTTTAATGATTCCATTATCATCCTTGTCCAGGGTTTTGAATGCACCTGAAATTACAAAATGGTAACATTATTTAAAATCTCCAAACGGCACACTTTGCTGAAATGGTAAAATAAAAGCAACAGAAAAAAAAGCCACGAAGCATCTCCTGGATTTATCTAATGTTTAAGAAGGGTATTCACCCCTCCTCCTAGACAGGTCCTTCACGAACTGTACATTGAAATATATCCAGCTGCTTTTCTGGGTCTTTTTGAATCTCCACTAGCTGATGGCTGTGGAGAATGGACCACTTGCTCTGTCAAACCTAATGTAAATGAGTTTCACCCTTCTGCCAGGGGCAGGGCTGTTAATGACTTAAGGAGATACAAAAAAAAAAAACTGCTGGATTCCAGGTGTTGAGAGCAACTGCCAACCCAGAGCATGGGAAAACAAAACACAGTCACAAGACAGCGGCAAAAAGATACCGTGCACCGTACTGTCAAACCCTCTTCAGTGCCTTTGATCAGGTGAGAACGACGGGTTCAGTGGCCAGTGTTCATGAATTACACTCCCTCTGCACTCTTGTGCAATGGAGGAGTCTTCAGCAGAATGCTGCCATCCTGGACGAGGAATATGTCATGTGTTCCTTCTCTCTAGCCTGAGCAACTCTGGAGCAGCTGGAGTCCTGTGCGGTTCTGCCCCGGGCCTGGCCGTGCGGCGCCCGGCGGAGAGAGGCCTCGGTACTCACGGCACATGGCGTCCAGCCGCACCAGACAGCCGATGTAGTTGTCGAAGTCCATGTTCCCGTTGTCGTCGCTGTAGCGGCGGGTGATCATCTGGAAGAGCTGGTCGTTGAGAGGGAAGCCTGCGTGTGGGGGAGGGGACAGGGGACAGCTCGTTAGCGACGAACTCATCAGGGCTTCCCCGGCGAGCCCTGGTTTCCCTTCTCGTGCAGAACAGAGACGCAGCGGTTTCCTTTCAAACCGAGGAGTAACAGGAGGGCTGGGGGATGCTGCAGCTGCAGGTTCAGCGTTTCAGCACAGCTATTCCTCTTTTTGCACAAGCTCATTCTCAGCTGCAGGTTTAGAGTCATGTGCAAGGATTGCTCAGCCTTTGCAAACGGTAGAAGAACGAAGATCAGCTCAGCTCTACATCCACACCTCTGTACAGGTCTTAGCCATCTCGGGCACAACCAGGAGTTACAACAGGGGAGCTGCAGTAAAAGGGGTAGATTTCCCCTTGTCAGTTCTCCCCTCAATTTCTGTGTCCCGATCTGCGCTGCTTTTCGTTTGTTACTGCAAATCGTAATGCAGAACCTCATTGTTTTATCACTTCAGAAGTTACATTTGGAACATTTGAAGCTAACATTCTTTTCAAAAGTTAAATATTTCATTTATAAACAGGACAAGAAGAAAGAATTAGCAAGAAACCAGATTTGCATTTGATTAACAATTCAGTTTAAGGCTACTTTTTTTGTTAACATATAGTGCATATTCTCCACACAGCTGGAGTTAGTGAAGTTAGAACATTCTATAGCCTTAACTATTAGCCCAAAACATCTTATAGTGTTTTATGCTATTCCAACTGTTTGGATCTTTATTAATGCACTTAGTAAAAACAAAACTCAAATCGGCAATGTCCGAATATTCAGAAACCTGAGCAGAACAACTCAGGGTAAACTAGGCAAGAACAATAAATATTAGGTGACAGAATACCTAATCCATTACTTTCACCTATCATATCTCACTGACTCACTCTCGGGTAACATCGTTCCACTTGACATATTCACAAAGTTAGAAAGATGTATTTTGCAGCACAAAATACAGATCAGGATTATCTTAGCTTTCAGCACAATTGCTAAAGTATAAATACAAAACCACCATAGAATTGTGCTTCTTCTTAAAAGAGCAGAAAAATGCAAACTTCTTCTGCACAGCAGTGTGCCTAAGACAATCAATTGATTATTGAGACAGCACCCGCTGCCCAGATCATAGAGCTTCCCTTGTTAAAATGAATACACTGTGTTGTTGTCATACTTATCAGACATTGTCCTCATTAAGGATTCCTTCAGTATTACTGATGGCCTCGTGATGCAGAGGCACTTATTGAAGACAATTTAATAACAATAACTTGCATTTGTATACTGCCTTATATCCCAAAGCGCTTTTGCATAGTTTGCAAAGCTTTATTCAGGTAAGTAAGGACAAGTACATGACCCAAGGCAATAACACTAACAGCACATGAGAAGTGCCACACAACAATGTCCTGGAAGGAGATTATGTTAAATGAAACAAAGTTCTCACTGGCCTCCTGTCCCCCATCCTCCTACACATCCTTTTTTATGCTTCAAAAAGTAATAATTAATAATAATAATAATAATAATTTACATAGTGCTTTGCTGGACACTCCACTCAAAGCACTTTACAGGTAATGGGGATCCCCTCCACCACCCCCAGTGTGCAGCCCCACCTGGATGATGCGCCAGCAGCCATAGTGCGCCAGAACGCTCCCCACACACCAGCTCTCAGTGGGGAGGAGAGCAGAGTGATGGAGCAGATCAGAGAGGGGGATTATTAGGAGGCCATGATTGGTAAAGGCCAGGGGGAAATGTGGCCAGGACACCGGGGTTACACTCCTACTCTTTTCGAGAAACGCCCTGGGATTTTTAATGACCACAGACAGTCAGGACCTCGGTTTTATGTCTCATCCAAAGGACGGCGCCCATTAACAGCATAGTGTTCCCATCACTATACTGGGGCATTAGGACCCACACAGACTGCAGGGTGAGCGCCCCCTGCTGGCCCCACTAACACCTCTTCCAGCAGCAGCCTCAGATTTACCAGGAGTCTCCCATCCAGGTACTGACCAGGCCCACACCAGCTGAGCTCCAGTGGGCTGCCAGTTGTGAGTTGCAGAGTGATATGGCCGCTGGATAATTCCTAAAATGCAGGTGATGCAGTAGCTTGAAATAGCCATCATTTTTTTCCCCACAAGGAAACGGGAGGCTTCATGCCGTGTCAGCCCTTACCTGCGGCTTTGAAAGCCGCGGGAAGCTCATTAGCACCGATGAGACCGGATCTGTCAGCATCATACTGCTTGTAGATTGCCTGTAAAAACATGACATCTACCTCAGTGAGAAAGCAGGGGAGAACAACATCTTTCACACGCAAGACGGTTGGTCAGCACTGTTGTCTGTGACCGTTTCCTTCACAGAGGATTTTAAGGGTTGTGTGGAGCACAAGTGTTAAAGATCTGCAGTGGCTTGGCAGCATCAATGTGAACACAGCTGCAGTTCTGTGAGTTTGTGGTCATTTCAGGTTTCAGGTCATTTCAGCACTTTTCTGGACACTCCACTCAAAGCCCTTTACAGGTAATGGGGATCCCCTCCACCACAACCAGTGTGTACCCCCACCTGGATACCCACCATACATCAGCTCTCAGTGGGGAGGAGAACAGTTTTATAGAGGGGGATTATAAGGAGGCCATGACTGGTAAGGGACAATGGGAAATTAGGCCAGGACACTGGGGTAACACCCCTGCTCTTTTCAAGAAACGCCCTGGGATTTTTAATCCCAACAGTCAGGACCTCGGTTTTATGTCTCATCCAAAGGACGGCGCCTTTTTACAGTATAGTGTCCCCGTCACTATACTGGGGCATTAGGACCCACATGGACTGCAGGGTGAGCGCCCCCTGCTGGCCCCACTAACACATCTTCCAGCAGCTACCTTAGTTTTTCCCCAGGAGGTCTCCCATCCAAGTACTGACTAGGCTCACTCCTGCTTAGCTTCAGTGGGTGGCCAGGTGTGAGCTGCAGGGTGATATGGCTGTGACTGTAATCACAACACGTCTGTGCCTCATTTCTTGAATGACCATCTCTGCACTGAAATTGAGCTGTGTGTAGAATGCATGTGTCACTCAGTGGGTACTCGAGGCATCCAGCATTACTGTACAGAGTGTCAGAGATAAGACGAACAATCCTCCTGCATGACTCAAGGTCAAGCTGCCAGATGGGAATGTCTGCCGTTTTTGTCCTTGCTGCATGATTTGGACACCATGGCAGCAGATTTTATTTCGCTGGGGCTCTAAAGGATTTGCGTACGCGTGCTTATCCTCCTGCAGCAAATATACACAACACCGGTAGAGCGCCCCCTGCAGTGCGGCCATCACCTGCCACTTCTTGATGTTGTTCCACAGGTGCTTGAACTCATGGAAGCCCAGTTTGCCTGAAGAATCGCTCTGGAAATCGGGGTTAAGGAACCCAAGTTTGCAGCTGCATACAAAAATACCACAAGCTGGTAAAAAGACTACCGTCTTTAGAAAACTAAATCCTAAGGTGACCATATTTTTTTGTTTTTTAAACAACCCGCCTCCCTCTATTTTGAGAGCTTAAATCGAGGCAATGCTGTAAGGATACATCCATCACAGCCACCATGCTCCTGCAGGACTCGATGCTGAAGCCATCCGTCTTGAGATCTCCATCTGAAAATAGAGAATCAAGCATCCCTGTCACCCAGCTGAGCCCCACACAGACCTGTCGTCTCCTCATTGCCATCTCTCCCAGGGAAGTAGATCTGGTGTAAATAGGAATTCTAAACCTCATGGTGGCAACCAGACAGATGGCTTGATCGCTAAGCTTTTAACAGTTGTGATGAAAACAAAACATGTTATATAGAGACCATAAGGCAAGAAACTTCATGCATGCACATGAACCTCTTTAAGAGGTTTGAAGTGGATTAGACCCTCTAACGCGTTCTGGAAGTTAAACACACTCGGACAGGACAGGGTGTAGCTTCTCTCCAACCTACCCTGGTCTAACCTGAATGGAAAACAAAGACTTACGTCTGGAGATGATCTTGTTGAGTATGTTCATCAGCTCGTTAGGGCTCACCTCCATGTCCTGCAAAGAAAAATAATACAAATAATATTTATCCACCACACCAAATACTCAGTTTCTTAAATGTGCATGGAAAACAGCCATAGAAGCTACAGAAGTACTGCTATGGTGAAGCAAGCAGTCATGTTGGAGAGTTAAAGCAATTGTAGAAAAACTTCAAGCATAAAACAAAGGAGACAGTAACATATCTCTCACCTTGGTCAAGTGATATATGCAGGGACTGATGCAGACTAACACGCATTAAGCTGATATTTATAGCATAGTCACAGAAACACTATGCATACAAAGGGGATGTATGTTATTTGATGATAGAGAGTCATTTTTAACTGTCACCTTTCTCCACTTAGCTCATAGACTCTAGACAGTAACTGCACACCATTTTATGACATTTTATACCAGATGAAAAGCTCAAATTTAAAATGAGCCAGCTACATTTAGAAAGAAAGAACAGATCTGGTTCAAAACAGCTAAAACTTTCAAATACTTTTAGAATATTGAAACCTGTGAATAAATAGAGAAAACAAGATCTCCTATGCAGTAAACTTGAATAAGAAGAGAATTTGTATCATACAACAGCTCGGCATGCTTGAATTGGCACTTTCCTTATTATAATTCCATAAAACTGTTATTGGCTTAGTAAATGAAACATATTTGTCTTCTAGCTGTAAGCCATTTCATAACTCAAAGGATGAAAGATCCATTAACGGCTTTTGGATGAAAGGCTGCAGTAGACAGAATCGTTGACCTCAATTTCAAAAAGAAGTTCCGCAACATGAGAAAGTGCATTTCGCCAAACCTCTTCAAAAATGAGTTGCATAATCGGATGCCACCAGGTGTTGCTAACACACTGTAAAAATGAAAAGGAGCCATACAAAGAAAATAAAGACACTCCACAAATCTAATCATCCACACCTACTGCACTCAAGCCCCAGGAGCCTAGAGGAGAAAAGGCCATAATTATGAGAGACCGGTTTCTGCAAAGCATGTTGTGTAATGGAGTGCCACTGGATTGTAAAGGGTGCTTACTCACACCCTACTTGAGTCACCACCCCACCCCTCCCCTTCTCTCCGAAGGAGAAGCACATGCACAAATGTCTATCCCCTTACTCACTCCCATGAAATGAGTCAGGAAGCTCCGGAAGCTGAAGGCTCAGCCAAAACAGGACGGGGTAGCTCAGCAGTTCCTAGGAGCAGCTGTACCACACTGCAGTGGAACCCTGCTGCACTGTTCACCAGCAGGTGGGCAGACTATAAGGAACTGGCCAAGATGTAGTACAGCAACAGCTCATTTGCAGTTGTTTCTGATGAAGTGACCTGGGAGCTGGAGTTTTTTAGTATTTTAGTAATAAAAGACTCCACAAACTGAACAAGCTGAACTGATTTTGCTCCTTGATATAAAAATTGGCTAGAAATCTTGTAATAGTAGACAACACTTCTGGATTCTTTGAGTAAATCTACAGGTATGTCCAGAACATACATATTTTGTAACTCCTGATTGTATCCAACAAGCTAAAGGTTTTAGCAGAGCAGTGCGATTACACTTTGAGTACGTTCTCTCCTTCACTCCTGGCATAAAACTACTTATTCTGCTGTATGTATGTCTATACCAGCGGCTGGTCAGCCTTGGTACCTCCACTGCAAGTCTCTTCTCCAGGATTATCCATAATCAACAGTCATATTCTGCAATCAGCAACTGGGTTCATTAGGCAAGTAAGGATAAATTCTGTAATTTCTTGAAAGGTTCACAATCCTGTAACGGTATGAGATAGAAGCGTCAATATAAGTCTATACCTATAGCAGGGATAGACAATCCTAGGCTTCCAGGTTTTTGTTCCATCTCAGCTCTTAATGACCTACTGCAGCTCACTACTGGCTTCATGAAATCTATTTAACAGCCTTTCCCCGTTCTTTGGGAGGCTGTGCTTAGAAGTGACCGAGGAAATCAGCCTTCCAGGACCAGTGCAGTCCATGTGTATGTTATCTACACATTTATAAAGAAATGGCTTGCAGTTCTTTGACCATGTTTGCCTAGGGGTTGCCGCATGAGGCTGTTTCATGGGACATACTGTATAAACATTTGTTTTCCTTGGCCGTTGGCCTGCAGTGGCAATATTCAAGCATTCTGCTCACATTCCAAAATTTCAATACAACCACAAACGTGTATACTGTTTCGCCTCATTAGTTATGTAGATGAACAAATCAGTTAAGACATGCGGACTGCTGGAGAGCCACAGGCAAGAGAAAATCATGAGTGGTGTGGAAGAGAGAGAGCTGGAGCCCTTACATCTCCGGCGAGCTGCTGGAAGACCTTCCTGAACTGGCGCTCCTCATCACTCTCATTCTGCTCGGCGTACGCCATGGGCCGGCGGGGGGGCGGCTGCGCACAGAGAGCAAGAGAGACGGGGTCAGGGTCAGGGTCAGGGTCAGGGTCAGGGTCAGACGGCACACCTCGCCAGCACCAACTCAACCGACCTGCTCGAACCTCAGCCAATATGCCACGCCCTTTCTGTCCGCAATTCAAACGTGCTCCTAAACTATCCCCAGAAGTTATTCCTTCTGAAGGTCTCATAACGATCATTTAAATAAAGTACGCAAAGTATCTGCCTCTCACTCACCGGATCTGAGGGCAGGAACTGGTTGGGGTCAATGTTCCTGTAAAAAAATGAAACAAATACAAATGAGTTCTTTATTCTTGCTTTAGAACACCCTACTGCATGTCATCTCTTGAGAGGACAGAAGTTCTTACTCTCAAAAATTGTATTTTTACTGAATCTTGAAAGAAAAAAAAAGTTTGAGATTTTTTTTCTGTTACATTTATTTTTTTAATAAACTTTAAATGACCTATTATTTACCTTTTTAATAGACTCTCAATGTGGAATTGAATCCATGAGTGCCATGTGCTGGAATGAAATGGCTGGTCACAGACTTCACCACCACCAGCTCCTGGCCTACTCTAGGTCCTGGCCTACTCTAGCCTGACCCAGCCTCTGCTGTACTCGCCACTTCGAGAGAGTGTCAATGTTCCGACTCTGGTGCTGCGTGCCAACACAGGGGTGAATCTGCCCCCTTACGCGAGCAGCTTCACTGGCTGAGGCACCTGGGAGCCCCAGGGGAAAGCAGAGCTGTGATCAGACTGTGTCAACACAGCTCACAATTACACGTTAAGGTGCCCGTAGCTGCGAGCCTCAGTTTCAGGATGCTGCAGTTGGTATTTGAACGAGCCCCTGAAAAACTAGATGGTGTGAAAGGCGCTTCTTACCCCACGACATCTATGAGGCCACCAATCAGCCTTTTAGCAAGAAACATCTTGATGAACTGAAGGAAGGAGACTGGGAGAGAGTCACAGGAGGAGGACACCTGGGAACAAATAAATAAAAAAAGAGATGGAGCAGGTTAGCATCTTTTTCCTAGAAATGTGTCCAGTAAAAGTGCAAAGTTTTGCTTGTTAAATGAAGCCTTAGCATTTACCAACTTGCAGAGCAAAGAGAAAAGAATATGCATCTCTAGCAGTCCTGACCAGTGCAAGTGTATCATATGAAGGAAACACCTTGCTCTGCTTTATCGACTCTGCTGTCTTCTGAAATAACTCAGAGCCGACAGCTGTTCATTCCCTGCAGTAAACCTCTGTCCACAATCTTTAATTACTCGGCTAGACCCGTTTCATTTTTTCCTAATTAAAATACTTTCTTAGCACTGTTGACCATTTGCTTCACAATTGCCCCTTGTGTACCTGTACCTGGAAAAAGATCCCAACGGAAATGAAAAACGCGATACATTTACTTTGCCATTGGTCTTATAAAACAGCTCCTGGTGACCTGAAGTACTACTGAGACTGTAATAAGAGAAAACAGTCCCCTTTTTTGAATCTGCATAACACTCAGGAGTAAGAAACTCTGCTTTCCATTTGTACAGATTCAACTCATTATTTAACTAGAAACCTGTGCATGAGCAAAGATTTGGGGAAGATTACCAACACCAAGGCGCACGAAGATAAATGAGAGGAGACCATTTAGCCCATGTAGCTTGTTTGGTTTCTACTAGCTCATCGATCCTGGATCTCATACAGTCTTTATACTATAGTGTAGCGAGGAATTTGTCTCAGACGCCCACAACACTGTATGTAAGCGAAGCCCCTGCTCCTCTCAGTTTCTATGCACTTCCCCATTTGTGTCCTCTCGTTTGCGTTTCACTATTCAAACTGACTAGTCAACTGTAAGCCGGAACTGTACAATACCTACCTGCTCTAGGAAGTCTGTAAGCCTGGAATAAACTGGCCTGTACAAGAAAGAAAGTAGCCTCAACACACACCTCTCAAGTATTCCAGGTGAACAGTCGTACCTTCCTCAAACATACTGCGGACCCCTAAACACACCGAGCAAAGGTGTAGCACAATAAATATCCCGTCTAGCTGGTAGTGACTGGGTCTCCGATTCACCTTTCCAACTGATAGCTCAGTTGTCGTGGCCTAACACATTTGTTTACTGTACATATACTGTGCTTCAGGTTTGTATTTTGGATCAAGAAATCAGAGGAAAATAATCTTCAGACCTTTCACGGACGGCCAAGACCTCAGGAGTTTTATTGGCAATCTCTGAGAAAGAGGAAGAGAAAGGTTCTTCTTGTCTGTTTCAGACCCTGGAGCCCATGCAGCAAGCTGTCTGAGCTACTGCTGTGCCTTTGGAACATGTGTAGTTTTCTAAAACTCAGACAGTTTCTCATCATGCAGACTAGACTCTTGCTCCCAGCATAAACATCTCACTTTTGAACAACTACTAGAAACACATGCCACACGCTGGAATGTTGAATTTGAAGTCAGGTATCTTCTGGAAATTTTGAGGTTTTGGCCTTCCGTTCCTCTCCAGGTCTTCAGCTTCGCAAGCCACTGTACAAATTGTACCAGTTCTAAATACAGTAACCAGCAGGAATGATCCTACCCTCGTTGTCAGCCAGGCTCCGAAGAAGAACCTGTGATTTGTAAAACCTGCACGGCCCACGCTCCTGTACAAGGGGAGTCTATTTTCAGCTGTGCTTCTAAGATTTGAGTTGACTAATTGAAACATTTAAGAAAAATATCAATCATAAATTTGCTGGGTGTAATTTCATGGGATTCTACAGCTCGCATTGAGCACTGTACTATACCTGTATAATCGTTTTCTACAGAATCACAGATGCCTTTTTTTAGTCATTGTAGTGGCACAAATCTCTGTAAAAATTCTGTAGGTTTGAGAAAACATACAATTGGTCCCCATACCTAAAGAGCACTTTAAATTATGAGCTGTCTGCAGCACATGGCAGGCGATCCAATTTATACAGGACAGAATTGTGCTCTTAATAACAGGGTATAGTGCTTACGTTCACTTAAAAGATTATGCTGGCAGGTGACAATGGAGGTGTGATCCCAAATCAATTAAAATATTTGTCTATGTCAGGTATCCTCACAGCAACTACTGGTACTTCATACAGTAGCATGAATAACTTCATGCTACTGTGTGTCCATCAATGATTGCCAGAGCTCTGAAGTAGTCCTGACATTGGGACCTCCACTCAGTGGTCCATATATTCCCTTCTCATATTATCTGAAGATGAAAGAACAAGAACCTAACAAAATGTGTTTTTTCAGGGCATGATAGTGACAATAAAAAGGTCTATGCATTTGCAGTTTCTGTGATGCTATTTCTTAGTATATCATGCAGAACTTCTAGCCGAGAGCTCAATGCCCTGCTTGTGCTGGCTTCCTCTCTCCCAAGTAAACAGCCTGGATTTATTCCCACCCTTGTTGACTTCCACAAGCTGTACATTTCCACACTGTTCTTCCGGATCTCCTCAGTGACTCATTCATAGGCAAGTCATATGACCAGCCCTCCCCTCAGGCCTCACACCTAGCCCGTCTCCACTTGCAAAAAAATACAGGAAATCTCTCTGGTACAACAAGGTCTGCAACTCTCCAACAACAGCAACACTCTACTGGACAGTCACCCTATACTGGCCACAAAATAGCTGAACAATTCACAGAAAAATTAGCACTTTCACAGAAAATCACCAAGTCATTAACCACTTTTATAAGATGGACATACAAATGATAAAAAAAACACATGCAAGAAGTGTAATCCTATACATTGGCCTAGAAGCACAGTTTCCCCAACGTCTGGACATTCCTTCCACACCTATTCAACAGGAAGAAAGACATACGCATGCCCCAAACTTCAGGGTGTAGTTGTGTGATTACTCCACCCTCCAGGTACATTCCTGGGCTTAGTGGAATGTCCTCTGCCGACAGACTAAGAGAGCTGTCTTTTTTTAGTCCTGGACTGAGAAAACCCATGAGAGACGTGATTCAAGAATTCAAAAGCCTCTCAAGAGCTTTAGCCAAGTCCCCCCATGGTCTTCTTCCAAATCCACATGGAAAACACAAACCAGAGGACACAGGCGGAAACTGCAGGGAAGATGTGTTTAAAACTAGGGAAGGTGTTTAGAACTGAGGACAGGAGCCACTTCTTTACACAAAGCATTCTGGGACAGAAACAGGATGACCGCACGGGGACACTGCCAAAGCCGACACCATCAGTTCTTTCTGGCAACAGCTAGATGGTATTGTCTGATTAATTATCTACTAGCAACAACAACTCTCTCGTTCTCCTTACTTCGTTCTCTTAACCAAAGAGCCCAGAAGCCACTGTATTTCCTGTTGTCAATACGCAGAACAGCATGAACGCCCTACAGCAGTTCTTTGTGGCAGCTGACACACCCACTTCAGTCACTCAGTGAGGTTTAGGCCCTACTGTAGGTCCCAGAGCAAACAGAGAGAGTCTGGGGGCGACTCTGGGCTTTCAAATGCGGTTTGGCTTTAAAGTTGCAACTTAACCATATGCATTCTTTAAGCTTAGGTCAGGAAAAAAATGTTTAATGTAGAGTTGCGCATTGAAACGCTGATTGAAAATGTCTATTAGTGCACAATATATAAAATATAGTTATCTCTTAATCGCGTGCCAAGGGTTATTGTAAAACAACTGAAAGGCGAGGTGCGGTGCTAATCGAAATTTCCCATTACAGTATGTACGTTACCGACGGTCCACCTAAGGTAAATACGCAAATTAAAAAAAACAACAAACAATTATATGCATCGGAAAAATGAGAATGTAACCACTGTGTATTCTAATTTGCATTGCGATGTAATGACTATATGAAGTCCTGTAACGTCTCTACTCTCTTTCACCTCGCTCTTGTGAGGCTGCGGTAAAGTCTACAGCGTCTTCTCGGCGGCACACTTACAAAACACAGTTGAAGTGAACCTGGGAGAATTCAAGGCAGCGCACCGAAAGGGTGCATACACACACACACACCGTAGAGACCTTGCGCCGAGGTATCGTCACAGATGGACACAATATAAACACCTAGTAGGAAAAACCTGCCGTCACGCAGCTCCAAATAAATGGCTGCTTCCAGAAATAAGCTTCACAAAGCCCATGCAAATGTTCTGCATATGGCCTTGAGTTCCCATTACAGGAAGCCGTGCAGTCTCCTTTACTGAAACCCGAAAAGATTTAACAAGCGACAAAGCGGAACACAGTTTAACACGTTTCTATCTGCAATCGGATGTAAAAAGCGATGTTTCGTGTTTAAGAAGCGCTTATCAGGACCCTTCTGAGCACGCAGGGGCCTGCTGTTATTGGTGAAAAAGTTTCACAAGCCCAGTCCTCTCGCCCGCCCGACGCAGTGCAGCTGTCACACGCAACACCAAATCTCTCGGTGCGCTCCGGATCCCGACCGGGCAGAGGAGGGGGAGATACGCTCAACCCAGGCGGCCTGTGGGGAAGCACTTACCGGGAGCGTTGATAGGAGACGCCGGAGCGGACTGTCGAGCAGACGGGCGTTTTTAAAGTGACTCACGCCACCGAAGAATATGAAAACCGGCCCCACAACCAGCCCCCCTCTCTCTCTCTTCTCGGAGATCCACACCCAGTCCCGACAGCTACAAGCGTCCCCGGGTCCTACATTCCGGACTGTAGCGCACAGGACCCACAACTGTATCTCTACATACAGCACCGTAGGCTCCTGAAGACGACTGGCTGTGAAGAATTCTGATTTAGATTAGAATTTTAAAATAGTGTACCTATTCTACAAATAACCGATAACAGCTCATGCAGTTCAGATCCCTAACCCCCCCAGAAGAAACGATATTTCAACGATACTGGCGAACGAGAAGCTGAAACCATCCCGTTGTTTCTGTGTAACTGATGTGATATTACACAGCTGGACCTCCTCCCAAGCAAAACAAAACTTTCAAAAATAAAAACAGTTCATGAATTACATTTAATGTCATCTGAAATAAGAAATCACAGTGTTGGTGGTTTAAAAACACTTTTTAAGTTCTCTCATTATGTCAGTCACGAACACGGTTTACACTCTTCAGGACCGGCTCTGTATGTCCCTGTGCTTGCACAGCTCAAAACAGCACATCTGTTTCATACTGAGCAAACTGTACAGGACAGCACCGTATTTTAATACATCAGAAAAGTCACGCAGGTCTTTAATGCCCTGAGCAAAGAGCAAGACCAGAACACTCCCAATTCCTAGCGCTGGTGCCTGCTTTATAGTATGCGTGGTATTTACGCGAACCGACCAGCGAGTTTCACATTCCTGGAGCTCAGTCTTGACAAAACCAAGTCGCACCGCCACACCCGCCCAAAAATATACAGTGTTTGTGTATTTACTATGTAAAGTAGCAGACATAAAGCAACAATTAGTTAACTTATTACTTATCTAACACGTGCAACAACAAGATTAAGAATAAGAATATACTGTAGCACAGAGTACTAAGAACTAGACAGACCGGTGATTAACTGCTCCAGGAGGGACTGTGCAAACAGACACACTAAGACACAGCTCGCCTTGAGCCTCTTGGGCTTTACTGCTCTGTACCTCAACACAATAAGCAGATCGTCTTACTCAAAGTGACTCCGGGAAAGCAACAGTTAAAAAGGGAGTTCTCTCAAGTCTATTGTGCCCCCCCACTGACACGAAGAAGTCAACACGCAGCACAAAGCCAAACTCTTCATCACCTGGAAACGGGAGAGGAATGACAACTCCTCTACTACAGCTGCTGTATAGCCATAGCCACTGTGTAGCGCCCTTGATCCGGCTAGGGGAGGCAGTGGCAAACTAGTTTAAACCTCGGGATATTTAAAGTAAACGCGTACTCAAGTGTTGTTGGAAACTGAGAAACATGTAAATTGCGTTTGTAGTAAAACGAGCTCTGAAACAGACGGTCTTGTGTCTGTTTAGCTTATAGGTCGGGAAAGGATAACGGTTTTACTGCAACCCTGTGTTAATGACCTGTGAATTTGTTTCTTAGATCGTTGGAAAATTCGCAGACGTTTATGAAAATATGTAACCCATTTAACATTTCCTTTTTCTAACTTTTCAATTTCTGCTCTTCTTCTTCATAAAAAAAAACGCAAAACACGCTTATGGATAAAAAAGAGCGGAGAACTATAGAAAAGAGCAGCCATTTTCTAAACAAAAAAGAACTAAATTCGCGTTAAGTCTCTACGGTGCTCTACCCAAGACCTCAGATGTCAGCCCACTCCTCCGATGGACAGACTAATAAAACTTCCCTGAAGCTTTTCGTGTAATGTGGGTTTACAAATGTCCCTTCAGTACAGAACGCCTGGGAGCGGAATGAAAGCAGACTTTGTGCGTATTGAACTGTTCTGGAGGGGACAGCAGATACTGTGAGAAGCGGCTGGTTCAGATGAGGAAAACGAGCTGAATTCCTGCGGTTTACAGCGTACAAGTGGTCACCGCTCACGCTGTAGTCTGGAGCGCCCTACTGTATGTTTCTGCGCTGTGTGTGAAAGTGTCACGCCCTCTGTAGCCAGAGGGCGCTCCTTCTCTGTCCTCTCTCTCATTTCCGGTTATTTGCTGTCCTTCCGGTGTTTTATTTCCGGGTCTGGCACTCTGCCCTGGCTCAGCATTGACGTTCGGATGTCTTGAGACCCGCTTGGCACCAGGTCGCCCCACGTCCACTGCCTGAGGGCATTGGTTTCTATACGGCACTCCTGAGCTCTTTGGTCTAACGAGCCCGGGCCTTTTTCCCGTTCCGCCACTACGCATATGGGTCTAATTCCGCTCTCCTGCTCTCCACGGTTCGTCTCGTTTTCAGACATCCGTGACAAAAAGAGCAAGCAAAGCGCATGCCACATGTTTAGACTTGTTTCTACAAAGACGACAGACTTCATCCACCCCCTTTCGAATCCTTTCGAACATGAACTCTAAGGTCACAATTGTAGAAGCTGTAAAAGCGCTATATACGTGTAAGAAATCATTATTATTTTAAGACTGAATGGTGTGGATGTTTCGAACCGAGAACAGAAGGCGATTCTTTACACGGAAAGTTGCAGGGGTGTGGAACACGCCACACAGACATGGTGTCGAAGCTGGTATATAAGACCTTGCTCAATATAAGGCTGCATGAGACCCTTGGATCTACTAGCAACCAGACTAGGTGGGTCAGACTGGCTTCCTCCCATATCCTCTCCATGTTCTTGATGATAATAAACTTTATTTATACAGCACCTTTAAATGTGCTTCTCAAAGCCCTTTACTGTAAGAAAAAAACACACAAGGAGAGGAGACAGCAGCATGACACAACTGCAATAAGGGTTTGCAGTACAGCAGGAAAGGAAAGGAGCAGATAGGACCAGTTCTCAAGAAGAAGGTTTTGACTCTGGATTTGATCAAGCTCCCGGAAGGTGACACTCTGATATCCTTAAGGATTGAATTCCAGAGCTTTGGGGCGCAGCAGGAGAAGGCCCTGTCACCCCCAGAGTGTAGGCGGGCTTGGGGGACAGACAGGAGACAGTTGCAGAAGGTTGCAAGGAGGGGAGCAAGAGTCAGACAGGTACTGAGATACCGAGCCATGTAGAGCCTTATAGGATGAGGATCCTGAGGTTGACACAAAACCTCACAGGAAGCCAGTGCAAGGACTCCAGGACAGGAGTAATGTGACCAGGTCAGGATTCTGGCTGCCAAATCGTGGACATGAAGTTTGTCAGTGTGGGTTTAAATACCCAAAGGGAGCAGGGCGTTACACCATGTTAAGTAATGCTACTCAGGCCCTGGGTGTCCTCCAATACATATGTCCCCAGACATGAGGATGAATTTTAACTGGCTCGGATGAAAAGCTCAGCTCCGTCTCGCAATGTAACGTGATAAAACTGTCGGTTTTTCTCTCACGAAATGGGACGGACAAAACCAAAAGCCTCATTCTGTACGTCTTCCCCGCCTCCTCCCTCCCGGTGACGACATAAGAAAATGCCTTCACCGGCTGCTCGTTTCCAGTCGCAGGAGGTCGGTAGCGCAGCTGTTTCCTGGTAAAAATGGCGGCTTTCAGAGCCACGGCGCTGCCTTCCAGGGGCTTAAAGAAATTGTTACACGTATATCTCCTCCTGCACCTTGCACAGCCTCTACATGCGGTGTCGGAGCCGGGAAAGTGGATCGTGAACGTGGACAGCGTAAGTCGCTTCGCTTCCCCTGTGTCTGCGCAGTGCGAGCGGCCAGGGAGAAGACTGTCTTTATTGTGATGTCAGGCTTGTTCTGCGGGTCTTGAAGTTGTGCTGTGTTGACAGGGGATTTCGTCTCTCTGTAGACGTTTTCCCTGGCTGGCCCGCAGGGGCTTGTATTTTTATTTTTTTACAATGGTCTTAATTTATTTCTACCAGAAACTGCAGGACAATCGGTAAATTCCTTAGTAAGCGCGACAGCACGCCGCGGTTCGCTCAGACCCATTTCCTTGTTCGCTCACACGAACACTTTTTCAACGCCAGCAGCGCGTATTATTTCTATATATTTGCAAACCAGTTACTCAAATTTCATTTTAATACCCTCGAGGAATGAGGTCCTCATTCTGCCAGTCGCCTTTGGCCGGGTGTTTTTAGCTCTGGTACTGAAAAAGACACGCTTCATTGTAACACATGCCTACTGTAACTCACAAGATTGTAATTAGAACTGTTCAAATGTTTCTCCTAAGCTAAAGACGTTAACCCGACTGCGTGCAACTGCAGAAGTTACGCTTCCTTGTTGAAAATTTTAAGTTGAACAATTAAAAGGTGAAAGATGTCCACATAACAGTAAAGTAATTCTGTAATGTGAGCCAGTCCTGGGTTTTTGCTGTTGTGGTTTAAAACTGTTTAGCCCCTAACCTCAAAAGCAGAGTGACATTGTTTTATGGCTGAGGTGTGCTCTCAGTTTTAGAGCAGTACTGGTCTGTGGTTACAGTCATCCTGGGGAGCTCCAGTCCAGGTATTCTGATTGGTCTCTCTAAGTCACTTGTTATTTCAAGATTAGGATAACTTATTTAAGGAGTTAAGCAGTGAGTCTAAGTAAAGTTGCAGTGAGGGGAACTCCTGGACTGAAGGAAATTCTGAATTGTGATAAAAAAGATCCCTAAAATAACCAACTATTTAATTGGCCACAGTCTAGGTGTTCCAGACCTTTAGAAATCGATTATTTAATGGCTATTCCTAAACCGTGCTTGACTGGGGCCCTCCAGCATGAGGTATAGCTCACAGACATGACTTATCATGCAAAATAATATACAACTACAACTGAAAAAATCAATTTTTTTGTTGTTGTTTGTTTTCACTTGTCACTACAGAGAACAATTGTTCAGCTTTCTGAACTTCACAAAACCCGGTCACCCTCACCCTGCCCCTTTTAATCGGGACGACTCAGTTGTCTAATAATAATAATTGCTTACATTTATATAGTGCTTTTCTGGACACTCCACTCAAAGCGCTTTACAGGTAACGGGGATCCCCTCCACCACCACCAGTGTGCAGCCCCACCTGGATGGTTGTGTCAAAAACACAACCACTATCTCATTAGTCGAGATCATTTTATGTCCATGAGCATTATGATCTTTCAAATGACCGCTTATTAATAAGTGTCATGCGTTACCTATTTATCTCCGTTTAGCCAAATTGTCAATACAATAAAGGAGCTCATGGATAAAGTGTGATGTTTCAGTGTGTGCTGTAGTGCATTTTAGGGTTTTGTCAGAACAGGATAAACATGTTTCTGGCTAGAATATCGCAGAACCTAAGTCTCTTTCAACTTTTGTCTCTTTCAGAATTCCATTAATCAGCAGGACAAATTCATTTTCAAAAAGACACTGTTTAACAACTCCATAGTATACCTGCAATGTAAGTATCAGTTCTGCTGCGGCGCTGGATCGCTGGGGTGCTGTTCTGTTGATGTGTGCTTAGCCTTGTGGCTCTGAGGGTCCCAGGCAGGGTCGTGCAGCCCCGCGTCCTGAGAGCCCGGGCTGTGGGCTTTGCAGTGCTGTTCTCTTCGCACTTGGTTCAAGACCTGAGCAAGGTGACCAGATCAGCACAGCACCGGAGCTCGTGAGTGCACTGAACCCAGAAGGGTCTGGGGCTCTCAAGGCCCGGCTCCGCCTGCTATAGATGGTCTTATGATTGGCCTGTTTTCATTCTGCTGTAGAAGAATATCGAGCCTCACGTGGTGTCTGTACAGGTTTCCAGCTGGGAGCCCTGAGACACATGTGCTGCTTGTTTCTGCAGGGCTGGCGGAGAACTGCAACCCTGCTGTGAACTTCACCATCTCGTGGTACCTGCGCAGCTCCCGCTGCTACGATGAGGTGTTTGCTCTGGATGTAAGTTCCTTGATGGATTTGAAGTCCCTGACCTCTCTGGAAGGTGTTCATTTGGAGCGTGCTGTTTCTGTGTGCATGCTGGGAATGATAGATTGTAGCGATGAGGATGTCACGGAGAATTGCGTAAACAGAACAAATTGTTTCAGGCTCAACAGGATAGGCTCTGTCATCAACCCCAAAATATTACAGTCTGCTGCACTCTTGTACTTTGGCCTGTTGTGTGTGTGAAATATAATTTTTTGCAGTGGATAAATCAACATCGTTTTACTTTTAGGAGGTGTCAGAGAGCAATAAAATATGGATGTTGTAAGTTTAACAGCTTAATGTTGTACAAATAAAACAAAAGGTCAATGTTTGTGAAGAAAAGCATGTGATGTGACTGTGGTAGAGAGAGGAATAATAAGATCCGGATAAACCATGAATTCGTTCCTCTTCAGGAAACTGGCAAAGTGGTTTCATGCTTTTAATTGTTTTAAGTTGGGCCGTACCATTCAGAGGGGTGTGTGCGAACTGCTGCGGATGTCCACCCGAGCGGCGCGCTGAGCTGACACTCGGGGCTCACGGTTTCTTACTGCTGTTTGTGGTTTGGCTGCTCCCCCAGAACTCGCAGGTGGGGTCGTACTTCAAGTCGGACAGCGAGGTTCCCGATGGGGGCAGCGGCTTCTATGTTTTCCACTCCTACGACACGCAGGAGTGCGTACTGCACACCACGCGGAACGAGGTGCGACGTGCTGTCCTTCCTCCTCCTCCTCTTCCTCATCCTGTCTAGTATCTCGGCTCCCGGCCACACGTGTCTAACAGCTCGCAAAACTGCTGCCTTAATGAGCTCAAGTATGAGCTGCTGTGTTTCTTTTTATTGCATAAGCAGGGCTGGATAAAGCAATAAAATGCAGGATGTGTTTTTCAACTCTGCCTTTTCCCTTGTGCTGGTTGTCCCTGAAGCTGACCGTGAGGCACTTCGATACGCCGAAGCAGCTGAGGAAACCAGAGGTGGAAGAGGTGAGAGAGAACGAGTTCTGCTTGTCTTTTTTTTCAGTTGCCTGACGTTGACTTGCACAGTGCTGCAAACCAAGGGGAGCTGTGGGACTGCATTCTTTTGTCACAGTGCACTTTCATGTCACTGTCCTTTGTGCATACAGGGCTCTCCTTTCCCCATGTAAAAATAATTTTGACATGTGCCAGCCCTTTTAGAATTCTGCTACTGTTTTCCAGAAACAGTTCTTCTGTAGTGTCCATCGTGACTCTGGATACGTCATCTCTCCGGACACAGTTGTCCCTGGATCGTCTTAACACTGCCTCATCCCGTTTTTATTTTAGATTGATTTTTTTCTCCCTTCTCTGTCTTCTGAGAATGAGGTTCTGTTTCTGTGTGACATCCCTGGTTAAAGAAAGAATTCTAAATAAAAGCTATGTTAATTATTGCTTCACACGTTGTCCTTAAGGTGCCCTCCCTGACACACACACTGATGAAATACTCGTGGATTCAGAGCTGGAGAGTGTGGCATCCCAGACCACTCCTGGCCGAGGAGCCCGTGTGTGATAGGAGTGCTCATCGGGAGTGAGGCTGGCACCACTTGGACCATCTCTGAATATGACAAAATAACAGTCAGTCCATTCTGGAAAACCCTGTTTAAAATGTACATGTTTAGATCTTCCCAAAATAAAGGAATGGCCTCACGTGCAGTAGGGGTTCCCCAGAGTCCAGTCTAGGAGGGTTTAGATGAAGGGGGCATGAATCTGTCCTGCTCAGGGTGCGAGAAATTCCGAGACTTTCAATTAGATCGTTTCTGTTTCTGAAGTAATCTCTTGCAAAATGTCTTGCAGACCAGCACAGGCAACCAGGGGAAGAGGAAGCGAAGTGCTGTGTCTGAGAAGGTATGGTCTCCACCCTGTGGCCTTTCATTGCTTGAGTCAAGCTAACGTTAAATTTACACAGTGGAACTGGTTCAGGAGAGATCAACCAGGTTTATATCTGGCCTTCGCAAAATCTCCACAGGTCCACAGAACTTGGGGATATGAATCCTTATTCATTTATTCCTTTTTTAATTGTATGATGTAAGCATGCCCAAAGGGGTTGGGCAGCAAGATGACCTTGACCTTGGACCCCTAGAGGTTTTTTTTCTCCTTACTAAGGCGTTTTGGGTTCCTCCCCTCCGTTGTCTTCTGGTCTTTTCTGTTTTGTATTCACAACATGTATGGTCACTTGCTTTGTGAAGCGCCTTGGGGCAACCTGGTTGTGAAAGGCGCTATATAAAAATTGAATTGAACTGATAAATGATCCAGTTTTAGCATGTTCTTTCATTTCTGCAGGGTGAAGCCCTTACAACAAAAAAGCCCTCAGTCAAGGAGGAGGGAGAGGTTAAAGGTCAGGTGAAGACCACCTCAGCAGTCTCGGATGTGGTGAGTGGTCTGCCGTCTTCTCCGCTCGTAGCACGAGCACAGCATTCAGCAAGGACAGAGGGGCTCTCTGCCTGACATGCTCCTTATTACACGTAGCCACTTAGCCCAGCGTTGAAATGTTAAAACAAACGCGTTGATTCACAAATGGGACCTTTGTGTTTCTTGACATCGATTCGTAGAGTGACAATTCGGGAGACGTTGGCAGGGATCCTCATTCCGTCCGCACAGCACAGGAATCATTGCGTCATGGGAAGGAAAATACAAAAACGTCTTGAATAGCTATTTTGGGAGAACTTTTAATGCTACCTTATCAACGTTTTTTCAGCTAGGGCTTCCTTTTTTCGTTGCTCGGATGGCTCTGTGTATGTTTGGAGTGGACTCCGGCACGTGCAGCTCTCAGTTTAGCGCTTGGGATTTCAGCCGCATTCCTTTTTTCTTCCTGTGTTTCGTTCCCAGCCACTGAACGCTGTGGCCAAAGCGTGGGAGGACGGTCCGTACATGTTCATCGTCCAGATCAGCCCCGCCAAGAAGCCAGGAGAGGAGGGCAGCACCTGGAGCCTGCAGTGTAAGAGCCTGACCTGACCTTTAAGTGCCTGCAGCCCTAGAGCTCCCACTGTAAATACGATGGTTACGCAACTTGGCAACAGAAGAACATCGTAATGTCATACGTTTTTTAGTGTGTGAATTTTAAGACGTGGGCCTCCGTTTAATGGCAGCCTTCTCTTTTGCCTAACATCTGCGATGTCCTTGTTTGTATGAGCGGCGGCCAGGAGCCCTGCACCTTGACCTGACTCTGTCCTCACTGTGTTTCCCGCAGTGGAGGTCCAGATGAAAGGGCCACACGAGTACATCTCTGCTTCCGAATGGCCTCTCATGATTGTAAGTCCAGCGCCACTCCTGTGTTCCTCTCGTGTCCCGGGACAGTGCCCCTTCTCTTTTGAAGCCTTAGACCTGAACGCAAATAAAAGCTTTTATTCCACCTGCCCGTGGCAAATGGTGGAGTCTGTGCAGATGGCGAATCCGCCATCAAGCAGGTAGGTTTGGAATCTGCAGAAGGTAGTGCAGGTTGGAGGTGGGTCTCGGAGCAGGAGATGTCTGAGGGAAAGAGACACAAGGAAGGAAGAGAAAAAAAGAGTTGTGTTACTGCACTTGTACAGACTGCAGAATGAGATCAAGTTAAAGGCAGTTTCAAAGACACTTGGTCTGGAGGACTTTTCTTTCAGACAAAAAAATCTGCTTAATTTAAATTGAGTTTTTTGTTTTGTTGTGCTTTTTTACAGTTTTATACAATTATACCTCCCCCCACTCTTTTCTCCCCGTCTTTTACTGAATTACTGTGTTTCATCGTGACGGCCAGTGCTTTCTACTTTTTGCTGATAAAATACAATAATTTGACTCTGTTAAAATAAATCTGTGTCCCTTTATTTTGAAATCAACAGAACCTGAGTATCTTTGTAACTCATTTGTGTAATAACCTGAAATGGGCGCAATGGGAGATTGTATATTATGATGATTGGATTAGTTGCAGTGGTCCAGTGGACCAGTTCTGTGTTGCAGGAAGTCGCGGTCTCGCTGAGCAGGCGCGGATGTGAATGCCGTCTCCTCTCTGGTGCAGTTCTACATGGTGATGTGCATCATCTACGTGCTGTTCGGCGTGCTGTGGCTCGGGCTGTCTGCCTGTTACTGGAGGGACCTGCTGCGGATCCAGTTCTGGATCGGCGGGGTCATCTTCCTGGGAATGCTGGAGAAGGCCGTCTACTACGCCGAGTTCCAGAGCATCCGATACGACGGCCTCTCAGGTGTGCAGCCGCGGGGCACTTGGTCTGGACAGGTCTGTGTGATACAGGGTGGGCTGCTGAGAATGTCCAGGGGTGGACTTGTGATGATGATGCTTGGGTTCACAGTTTTAACATAAAATCTACAGGGGATGTGACAGTGCTTTCGTGCTACATAAAGTGCTATTGTAGAAGTGCTTGCCATTTTTTCTAGTAGATCTCTTGATGGGACATGTGAGGGCTGAAGCAGTTAAACTCGTTCGGGTACCTTTGCTGCTGGTCTCCTCGCCCCAGTTTGCTCTCTTCACGATGTCACAGTGCTGTGCAGTCCTCATCATCGCGTGCTGTGATTGGATAGCTCCAGGGCAGGACAAGACAGCACCTTTGTGTTCAGCACAATGTTAAATCGGTGTAGGCAAAGCCAACAATTGCCGTGACACACCTGTCCTGTCCTTGAACAGGAAACACCTGCGAGGCGTGTTGTGAAAGTGATGAACAGGTTTTTTTGAGAAAGATACCAAAAACCTTCTTTAACCGTCTCTGGAATTTCAGACGCTTAAAGTTGGGGTGGTTTAATCCTGTTCCTAGAGCGCTAGTGCACCTGCAGGTTTTCATTCCTGCTCTGCTCCTAACCTACCTCAGCTAAATACAGACTCATTGAGTTTAACATCTCCCAGCTCTTTAGGTGCTGCTGCTTTCACGAGAAATGAAACAACCAGAGGACCCGCCGGCCCTCTGAGACCAGGACGTGGCAGCCATTGCTTGAAAGATTTTATGGGGGGGCCCGTTTCCAGTCTGGGAGGGCTGGGAGATTCCTGTTTTTTGTGCTCTTAATGATCCAGTTCACATATTGAATTGCTTTATTAGTCAGGTAGAAAGGGCTTCAACTTCTCCTTTCTCTAGATAGTGGGAGGCTTACCGTGACCTGTAAGATCTGCCGGGCTGTGGCCCTGCTGCGTTCCTGGCTCGCTCTTCTTACCATCTGCTTCTCCCTGTAGTTCAGGGGGCGGTGGTGTTCGCCGAGGTCCTCTCGGCTGTGAAGCGGACCCTTGCTCGTGTCCTGGTCATCATCGCCAGCCTCGGATATGGAATTGTCAAGTGAGTGTCTTTGCCCGTGGCTGAATAACGGAAGAAGCTCAAACAATTGAGCTTTGGTGGACAAGGACAGTGCTCATGTGTGGCAAAAAGTAACATTAAAATTCATAAGCAGTTGCATACTATAATTTCTTGAAGTGATGTCCTGTTGCTTTCGTTTTTCACTAAGGGCATAGTCCCAGTCCCAGGCCCTCCCCCCACCTGTCAGGTTTTGTTCCAGCCAGGTGGTCAGTTACACCGTTTAATTTGTAATGGACTTACTCACAGTTTAGGTCTTCAGTCTGCTGGAGGCAGCCTTTTCACGATGGCATTTTCTAATTCAAATCAAATCCCCGACTTTTGAGTTGAAAGGGTACTTGCAGATGTCAAGCAGCTTATTAGTTCAGTTACAGGCTTCGGTTAGGTGATGAAGCTCAGCTGGACTGAAATCCAGTATGAGTGTGGGGCTAACCCCTGCCCTAGTGAATTCGGGCGATTTAAGAATGTGATGTTCTATTGGAGGGTGGGGCCTTTCTCAGATCTGCTTGGAAGACCATTAAGAGGACAGACCTGTTCTCTTTTAATGTCCTTCTGCAAAACCTGCTACAAAGTGCTTCTCCCTGCAGGCCGCGGCTGGGGGCTCTGCTGCACAGGGTGGTGGGCGTGGGGCTGCTCTACCTCATCTTCTCCATCGTGGAGGGCATCCTTCGGGTCAACTCGGTGAGTCAGAAACCCCACTCCCTGTAGCCATTTAAACCCCCTCTTTTTTTTTTTTGCAGTGATTATGTCTGGAGATCTATGAAACGGTACTTGTTAGCAGGAATTTTGGAGCTGACCAGGAAGTATCTGGAGTGATATTTGCCTTAGACTAGAATATGTTTGTACATATGGGGCTGGAACTTTCATGTTTAATTACAGTGTCAATAACAAAATTAAGCGGATCTCTGACGGTGCTGTTTTTTTTTTTTTAGTGCCTCAGACTTCCTCCTGCAGGCCTGTGAATTTACAGGGGGAAGAGTTTTTCTGTGTCCATGCTGCTACCCTGTGCTCCCATTCTGATAAATTGTCCTTTCTGCAGGATCAAGATGGGACAAGCAGGCTTCTGTGTGACATAGTGCTGGCCGTTACTGACTCCTGTATTGTGTGGTGGATATCCTTTTGGTAACACAGTATCTGGGTCTCAGCCCATTCAGAAGATAAGACAAATCAGCAGTAGTGCTGTATGGTGTTATTACACTGTGCATTATTCTAATGCCACAGGCTCATGCACATGTCATTATCAGGAGTATTTGCACTTTGGTTGTTTATTGGTAGTTCTTATATTAGCAAAAACTTGATGAAAGTTGGTGGTTCAAGGCTCCTGGTCTTAATGAGGTAAAAGCCAGTGTTTTCTAACTAATGAGTGACCATGCTGTCAGTGGCTGGCTCAAGACTGTGGGTTTCAGCAATAGTGTTGGTCAGGACAAGTTGCAGGATCATCAGGCCCAGATCACTATGTGGAGCAGCAGCAGCTGGCATGCACTTCGAGCTGGTTCTGCTGTTCATGCATGAATGGTACGGAGGTGATTCACAACTTTTTTTTTTAGCTTAAAATGGGCAGAAGGTTACCTTGACAATATGCTGGGTGAGGTAACTTCTAAAACCCAACACACACTAGATGGGCTGAATGGTTTCCCTCTCTTTTTTTGCTTTGACTTGGAAGCTTTAGCTCTGTCTTATGCAGGCACTGCAAGGCAGATGAACAAAAGCAACGTGTCGGGCTCTCTGTGTGACACTGAAGAACACTGAACTGGAAGTGTTTTGCTGCGTCAGAACTCGCCAACTGCAGAAGATAACATGAGTTTGATTTGCAAAAGATACTGTAGATGATAAACAGAGCAATATAGAACACCATGATTGTAATGGATTATCAGTAGGTCTGTCTCTTTTGTGTCCTGTTGTGTTAGGATCAGGACATTTGAATCCATGCTTTCTGCGACAGGCTTTCTTCGGTACTGTAAGGAAATCTGACAGATGGGAGCAATCAAGTAATTTTCATTGAGAGCCACTGTTTGCTCTTGCTTACATTTTAATTACACAGGGGTTGAATCCAGGTCATTTAGTCATGTCAGAAAGACTGCGAGGCACATCCAAGATGTGTTGGCAAGAGGTGTGGTCTGGGGTGAGCCCACTGTTTGATCGAGAGCCAGAACTAGAGCATCCATTGTCGATGTGCATGACAACTGGAGTTTGAAATTAATTTGTCTCAAATTTTTTCCCAAATGGAAATTTGTACAAAATATATTTAATAAGCATGTGTGCATGATAAAATTGCACACTATTATAGTTACTGTGTGACGGTCCTGTCTTCCTCTCTATCTGTCTGTCTCTATCTCTGTCCTCTTCAGGCTCAGGATGATCTGGTGCTGTTGGCTGCCATTCCCTTGGCTGTGCTCGACTCTGCCCTCTGCTGGTGGATATCCTGTCTTGCATCTCTCATTTTTTCTTATTGCCTCTGCCCTGCACTAACTTGCTGCTGATGTATATGGGTCCTTATGTATTGATTCCTGCCCCCTCTCACTCCTGTCCTTTCCCCCGTGCACCTCAGACTATTCTGATATTAAAGTGTGGCTTAACAGTCTTTCAGCTAATGTGAGTCAAAGCTCAGAAAAAATGGCTGATGGGCCGTAAAGGAGTGTTGCTGGGAGGTTGAGGAGTGCAGCAGAGCAGAATTCTTTGATCACCACGGGATCATATAAGCTGTGAGTGTTTGCATGTGAAGCAACCAGCTGCTGCAGATTTCTGGTTTGTTTTCTTGTTTTGACCAGACAGGCAGGGGGTTGAAATAGCATTTTTAAAAGTGTACGTATTTTAAATAAATAAAGTACAGATTTTGGGCTTTTTGAGTGCAGTGTGTCCAGGAGCCTACAGATGGTGAATCTGGAAGCGGGCTGGACTGCTGTGCCCTGGGAATCTGATTTTCATCCCCAGCTGCTGTCTTTTTAGTTTGTTGCTTAGATCTTTCAGGAACATCCAAAGTTCTCTAGAAGAGAACATGTATGCATGCAAAAAAGGTTCTGCTTTTCTGCCTGCTGTATATACACCTGTATATTTAGCAAGTCATATGTGGAGCTGTCATTAGAGTTTTGGACTGGTTGTTGGTTCAAGTCCCAGGTGAGACACTGTCAAAGCCAAAAAAGACACTGTTGTACCCTTGCACAAGATTCTTCATCCAAACTGTTCCGTTGAAACATCCAGCTAAGTAAATGGTTGTAAATGCAAATTGCTTTGGATAAACTTGTCAGCCAGGTATGTGAATAATTACCTATTATATTTTGGATAATATAATCGACTATTATGGGGAGTACTTCTCCCGATCTCCTTGGTCTCTAGTAGTTCAGCACTGTTTTTGCCGCAGTGGGTAGGTGCTCTGTTCTTGGTCCTGCTACACGAGTGCTCTCCCGATGGGCATGGCTGTGGCAGTTCTCAGCAGCAGGGTGAGAGGGGGTGTCTTTACTGGTGGCCTCGGGAGGCTCCTTGACAAAGAGACACATCTTCATCAGCCTGGCCCAGACCATGAAGCTGCTGCGACTGCGGAGGAACGTGGTGAAGCTCTCCCTCTATCGCCATTTCACCAACACCTTGATATTCGCCGTCATCGGTGAGGCTTCTGGGTGCCGAGGTTGTTTTGTTCTTCACACTGCACTGCCGGCTCGTCAGATTTGATCACGAGGTTTTACTGCACACTCCAGTTAAACCACATGCTCTCGATTCTTCTTTTGTGTTTTAAAGCTGAAGCATACAGTTTATTGCTTTTTACAAGCAATTTAGAGAAATGCACATTTTTATCATTTATAATATTTAGAACATTAAACCAATTGTGACAGATGCTATTATTGGCTAGAACACTTTGCTTCAGTTTATTGCAATAAAAATGCATCCTTCTCCCCTCATGGCCCGTGAGCCTCATACTGTATATCTTAGGTTTGGGATCTAAGTGTAAGTCACTTTAAACCATAAAGTCTGAACTAAACAATCTGGACCTTATCGTATCATTTGACCTGTAGAATTAACATCCTTTAACTCGTATCAGTCAAGGAAACGTGATTTGTCTTGGGACTATCTCACTGACCTCTTTGACACTGGGAGTGCTGACAAAACCTCTGAACAAATCTTTATCTTGATGATGGTTTTTCATTTTGATGCCCATACTCCATTGTGCAGATTCATTTCTAGAAAGAATGATCCTCAAATCTTTTTCATATCTTTCTTCCCACTAGCCTCTGTCATTTTCATCATCTGGACAACAAAGACCTTCAGATTCGCCCAGTGCCAGTCGGTGAGTGACAGAGGCTATATTACGAAGACCTTTATCTCTCTTATCTCCATCACTCAGACTGCTGAGATGACTGATAAAAAAATCCTCTTTTTAGTACTTAGTCTATTAGTACGAGTTTGTTTTAAAGAATGGGTGGCTGTTTTAGTCCAGTGCTCTGTAGAGTGTCTCCGCTGTGATGAGATTAATCAGGATGACCCTGGAGAATGTATATCCACTGGAGAGCATTTCCCCAGAGGTTGTGAAGGCATAGGCATAAGTGTGAGGGCAGAGATCTTTCTGTAGAATCCCATCATTGCTACCAGGACAGTAGATATTTTGTTTTGGTTTTTACACAAGCAATTCTTGTTATCATGGCCCTGCTTACGAATTTTTGGCTTCTGTTGGAAATCCCGCAGGCTTTGAGTAAGGGCCGAATATTTCATTTGCTTGTAGTTGTGGTTAGTTACCCTTGTGCCACATCTGGAATTTGCTTTAAGAATGAGTGGTTCATTTCTTGTCCGCTCCTCCTAATCCCGTCCCTCTCTGCGCCCTGGAGTGGCAGGCGTGTTGCGAGGGTGTTGGATGTGACTGAGCGCACGCAGCTGGAGCTCGGCTGTAACTCCTCTGTGTCCCTGGGCAGGACTGGGGGGAGCTGTGGATTGACGACGCCTTCTGGAGGTTCCTCTTCTCCATCGTTCTGCTGGTCATCATGTTCCTCTGGAGGCCGTCAGCCAACAACCAGAGGTGAGCAGAGCCGGGCCACCTCGGGGTCGGGGGCTCGCGCTTTCCCGCTCCACCCGCGCGGCTCCTGTGGGGGGCTGGAGTTCTGGGAGGGAGGAAGGAAGCGGAAAGCGCTCTCCAGTGGGAGAACTGGTTCTGCTTCGTTCTCCTGGCTGTGCTGCCGCAACACCCGCACAGCGTCCACGCCTGTGTGTTTGGGAATGAAGGGTGTTGGGAGTGGGGTGGAGAATAAGGCTTATAACCACACCCTTTAATCTGAGCAAGCTTTTTGTCTTTGAATTGGGGAAAAAAAATTAACATTGTTTTCCTTCCCAGTTTCACATAGAAAAAGACCCCATACTAACAGTGTGGTTTTTTTTTAATATCAGCAATAGGGTATCATTTATTAGAGAAAGGGTAGCAGAGTTTTTTTTTAACTGTCACATTTTCAGTGACATCTCGATCTCGAGTGCTAAATGTTAAAATTTAATTTGTTTTTTTTCCCCCCACTTGAAACAAGAAAATCTTAACAGTTCAGAAAGATTTACAAATGCAGCACTTAAAGATGGACACCAGAGAAGAATTGAGAATTCTACAGCAGCGTGGTATATATTTTATTTATGACGAGAGCCCCAAGATGGCTCACACTATGGTTTCTCTGAAGTTTGAGAGATTGTTTGTTGTGCTTTCAGATACGCCTTCAGCCCTCTGGTTGACGAGATGAGTGAAGAAGAGAAAGAGCAGCTGATGAACGAAGCGTTCGGTAAGAATCGTGTTGTCCTCCAGGAGAGAAGAGCTCTGTCTCAGGGTTATGTCTGCTGCTTCAGTAGATAACCAACCTAGTCAGCAGCAAAGTTTTCCATGATTTGGCCAAACAGCTGACAAACCATTTCCTGTGGCCTTGAGAGGGGTGTCAAAGAGGGGGGGTTGTTGTGGGGTGTGGTTGGTTTTTTTTGCATCACATGTGCTGGAGGGATTTTGACTCCCGTCAGCTGAAAGTGGCTCTGCTTTTCAGAGCAACCATCTTGATTTGGCTGTTTGAATTGAAAATCTAACCATGAAAAAACAGGACTGCAGAAGTGATCTTCTTTGACTCTCCTGTTGGAATGCGTGGGGCGGAGCAGTATAAGGTGGTGAATTTCTTACCTTCTTTAATTTAATTTTAATTCACGTGCAGTTGTTTCTCCTGCTTATTTTCCAGAGGGTGTGAAAATGAGAGGAATGAAATCGGAGACCAACGGAACGGCCAGGACGAACAAAGTGGTGAGCGGACTCTTTGTGCGCGTGTCAGGTCTCTTGTGGAAAAGAGAGCTCAGGATTCACGCACTGTGCTGCCTGTGTCTACATCATGCACAACCTTTGACTCAGCATGCGCAGGCGTGGCCAAGAATGGCTCACATAAACTGTGACTTCATTACAAATCGTGGATTTTTTTAATGCCGTATCATTATAGAAATGGAAATCGGGAAACGAGCTAGCCTCTGCTTTGTAATAGTTTTTCTACAAGGGATCTGGGGACAGTGGTGCTGTACCCTGCACAGTATTGTTGTGAACTATGTAAAGCAGTGGGCAAGCTTACTCATCATTAAGGTTGTAGTCACTTTCTTTTTTAAACCTTGTGCTTTCAGAAATACCGAGATGGATGAGTCACAACTTGTTTACAGTGTGCATTTTATTTAGCAACATTCTGCAGAACTTGGGCAGCAATATGAAGCAGTGGTTACAACTGGACTCTGGACTTGTGAAAAGTTTGTGTGCAGGTTTTAAAAGACCCTGTAGAACAGGTGAAGAGCGTAATTAAACAGGAGCTTGAGACAACACAAGCCGCCAAACCAACAGTTGTTTCAAAAACTGAATTGGAGTAATATGAGGATTTTTTGCCTAAGAGTCAACAAGCAGTGTCACTGCCCTGCTAAGCGAGGGGAGTCAGGGAACTGAAATGATCCAGTTATTTTCTTTTCCCCGACAGGATGAAGATTTGAAATGGGTCGAGGAGAACATTCCCTCCTCCATGGCAGATGTGTAAGTACAGGACTCGCAGCAGCTCGCCCGTCTCGGCAGGGAGGGCGGCGCTGAGAGTCGGTCAGGAAGAGTGGTCAAAGCAGAATTAGTGCTGGGGTTCATGGTGTAAGGCGCAGGGCGGGGAAAGTGGAGTGTGAATGAGTTTGGGTTACAATTCAGTATTCTGTTGTCAGGACTAGCGCACATCTGCACAAACCAGTGACTGCTGGAAGTGAGACTTTCCCTGTTAATTTTTTTTCATTTTTTCCCTCAAAGGTCTGTCGGCGTTGATGTGTAAATAGTTTGCAACATTTAATGTAGTGCGAGGCAAAGCTAGCAAGACAGTGAGCTTCCCGTGTTCAGAGCGGTTTCTGTTATCTTTCACTTCTTGGCTTTTTGCAACGTTCCTGCCCCCTTTTCAAATAAAACAATGATCCTTGTCTTGCAGAGCTCTACCGCCCTTGCTGGACTCAGATGAGGTAAGAGACCTGATTTGTTCCTCTTTATAGGCCTCGCGTGTCCACAAGGGGGCACTATTCACGTGTAGAACGGGTCTCGGTCTTAGAAGGATTAACAGTACAGCGGGACATTAAATTATTGTGATAAATGTGTGCATGTTTTTTATTGATTCTTCTGCATATATATATATATTTTTAAATTCTCATTAACCTTATCTACCAATTATATAAATGATGATTGCCAATGTTCGTTTGGAGACCAGGGCGTGTGAACAAGTGTAGAAGGAGAATGAAGGTTCTGTCCAACAGTTTTTACTGTATATTAAGACGGTACAATCAGTCTTAGTGTCAGAGCTCCAAGCTCCAAGTCCAAGCTTCATGGAGTATTATCCAGAGAAATGTTGTTGCCCTGGAAAGATTCAGCTCCTTATTTTACTTGTTCTGTTGCCCAGTGTTATGGCACAGACCACATACAAAACGTTTTGTTAATTAAATTATTTATTAATCCTAAGACCGCATTGATGTTCCAAATAAAAATGACTACAGCAGTGAATACGATAAAAGTTTTAGTGGGAGGGAGTTAAGAAGACACAACACCGCAGTGGTGCCTTCATTAAATTTGCATGTGTTGACTCTTAATGAGGATGCAGGTTAAACATTAACCTGCATCCAAATTTTACACCGGAAGGATTGTTACTGTGTGTCTGTGTCTGGCCCATTCGGTCATAAAACACTTTAAAATGATCCTCATTTCTCAGTTCCCTGGATGTCTCACATCCCCGTTGTTGCCTGGACTATTTCTGTGAAAGATGAGTCGTGTACATTTTTACCACCTATTACTCATCCTTAACAAAAAATTGAAAACACAGATAACTTTGCAGATGTCTGTAATTCTCTCAGTTCTGTAAATGTTAGGTTGTGTCAGAAGGAAATTAGTAATAATTAATCATGTATAAATTAATACAGTATCACAGAACATTTGATTATACAGTGATTTGATTTTTATTCTAATGTTTCTAATGTTTCTTTTTTGTAGGAAAACATGACCACAAAATTTGAAATGTCCAAGATGGAATAAAAGCCTGTTGTATTTATTGTAAATAATAGTGTGTACAATTATTTTATGTTGGTCTGATTTTACTCTCAAATATTTGTAAATTCGCTGAGATGAAAGTAACAAACAAGTGAAGAATGAGATGCTTTTATTTTCTTTGTATTGGATATTTTTATTTATACTGTACTTCCAAACTGTTGTTGGACTTCAGGATGCAGTTACTGCAAATGTATGAGTTCACTTTCCTGTTTACATATCTGGAATTCAGATAAATAAATGCCATACCCTTGTCTGAAAATATATTTCTCTCTTCTCAGTATTATTCTGACAAAAAGATTCAACTTTAGCCACATTATAATTCATACAATAAAACATTTTTAAAAGCGAGAGCATTTCTTTGAGCATTTTACTTAATTTCTAATCAAAGAAATTCTGCTGTCTGATGATGGTATTTCTACTGCTGTCTGCTTGTCTGGTTTAAGATGTTTTTTTGCCTCTTAAACTAGAGTTGTTAATTAAAAGAAATCTATGTACTTGTTCAAGTGAATCCACACAGAATTGCCTTGCGCATGGAAAATATTGGAGATCATTTTTTGTGGTTTAAAAAGCAGTTGAAAATAGACGTCTTTCATTCTGTACAGTAACCTTCAGTGTTTTCTTCTTTCTCCATTGGAGGAGATAGATTTGTCCTTTGAAGTGAGGAACCTGCATCACACAAGGAAATGTGGAAATTTAAGAGGGTGGTAGGACTGAGAACAGGAGACCCTTATTAGCGCTGAGTCTGGAGCAAGCAACCCATTCTGCATTGCTGAGGCTGATGCTGGCAGCTTTGAGGAAATGGCTAGGTGAGATGCTAGGATAGATTAGCCCTTCCATGTGTTTTTATTTCCATCATTCATTTATCCGTAGCTGCATTGATCCACAGCTGGGGTCTCCAACCCTGGTCCCGGGAAGCCCCAGATTTTCAGGATTGGGAAAACGCGAGGGCCATTGATGAACTAAGTACCGTAACGGAGAATAATTAAGAGGTCCTTGAGGTCTGAAGGTTACTTAGATTCCAGTCTCAAATCTTTAAATATTTTCAATTCATCTGTTTTATTGGTCATCATGGAATTGTCTCAACATGACCCACAAAACCTGCTGGGTTGAGATTTCCCAGGACTGGGGTTGGAGATCCCCGTCTCTGAGGATCATGGCATATTCAGGGCACAAGGCTGCCCTCCATCCTGGATGGTATGAGTCTGTCATGGGCTGTACACACATGCAGTATACTGTACGTATACAGAACAGTATACAGAACGAGTGCCCATCTAGCAATCTATAGCTAACTGTTAGAAGGGCTGCAGGACAGCAAAATTAAGGAATAAGTTTAAGACGTTCAGATCCTGATGTTTATTGCTGTCCGGGAGCAGTAACACTGAGAGCAGGTTCAGAAATACAAAATGTATCTGGTGCCAAAAACGGATATATCGCGCATACAGTCTTTCCCTCCTAGCCACTGTTGCAAACGGCCCTCCTAATGTCAACCTGTTATTCTGTTATTCTTCTCAAAGCAGAGACTCTCCCTCTTTCTCCTTCCTGAAAGCAAGTCCTTCCATCATGCTCAAAGAACCTGTGTTCAAAGTGTTTGCTCGTCGGTTTCTTCAAAACCTGAAGGTGAATCCCAATTTAACCAATTGCATTGTCATGGGTAATGCTGTAGGGCTACTTGTGAACATGATACAAACATCCTGGCCAGGCTGTACGTGATGCAAACTTTAGGACCAGTATAAATTGTCTACTGACTGTTACTGCCTTAACCTTCACTTGTCTGGTCAATGAGTGGTTGACCTGGAGAAAACCCATCAAACACTGCAAGCATGTGAAAACTCCTCAAGGAATGAATGACTGCTGTGCTACTGAGCTACCAGTTGCTCTTATTTCACAGGTTCAAAATGAAGGCTTGTTTTCGAATGCCAGGATTACACACAATCGTTTCACTTTGCTCGGGTGAAGTAAGAGATTCTGTATAGGCTTCTGTTTAGATTCCGGACTTACCCTCTTGTGCATGTAGGACAATTTGTACAGGAATGTCCTTTAAAACTGCACACTCGATCTCGCTCTATCTGTGATGTTACCCATCGCCCTCAATCAAAGTAGTTCAGACTTCCGTTTGGTACCAGATTTGGTAATGAAGGTGATGAGTGTTAAACAGACATGCAGCTGTACTGTGTTTTGTTTTGGATCTTGTAAGAATCGTGTTCAAAATGAGCGATTTGCTTTCCTTCGTTCACCTGCAGTGCCCTTAACGGGGTCAGACCTGGCTGAAAGCAGAGGTGAGAGATTACACGTCGAATATCCTCGATCCAGGCAAGGAACATCCAGTGCGTTCTGGTTTCACTCTCATTTGCACAAACAATGCAAATCAGCCATTTCATGCAAACAACATTTTGCATGCCAGAACCATGCAACTAAATATGTTTTTGTACGCACCCAGTCAGCACCACATAGTCCAGGCGTGTTGGAAGACCTGGCTGTAACGTGTTAAAAACCGCTCAGCTCGTGACTGGACGGTACACTGGCAGGTTCATTTAGAGCTGCTTGTGTTGATGTGTTCAGGTGGTCAAAGTGCAGCAGATACCCTGATCTGATTATGTTCTTAGCAAATTACATGGATGAAGGATTTTTCATTTTTAGTCTCATAAAAAGGCCAGTTAAAATGACATTAAAGGTATTTTGGGAAAGTGCAAACCACATTTTCATTTACAAAATGGTTTTCCTTGAATAGCTATGGTGTTTTCAAATTTTAACATGATTGTTAAGCCCATTATCCATCTTTTAAAACAAGTGAAATGAAGCTTTCATTCTCCAGCTGTGCTTCTGTTAATGATTGCTTGTTTATTGTAATGTACAGAATATTAAATATATGGATGTTCATGGGGAATATTGTGCACTAACGGGCTAAATTACTTTCTGTTGTGGCTGGAGATACAGTATGTGCTGGGGAGGCATGCAAAGGGAGTGTCTGTGCATGGTCTGTTCACACATGAATGCTGTCCCCTCTCTCGGGTAACATGTTGCTACAGTATGTCCTTCTGTTGCCTCTCTCCTTGACCGAGATGCTTGTCAATGAACCAGTCAGGATTTTAAGAGGAAAACGAAGCAAAATTCTGTTCCTGTTAACTGAACATTTCTCAGCAACAACTCGGCAACATTTTGTTTTTGAAATGATTTATTTTTTTGGACACAAATGCACAGTTGATGTGAATTTTCATATTGCTGCACCAGAAATGCCTTGTGAGGCAGGTTGAGTCATAGATGCTCCTCGTCTTAACCATGTAAAGACTTGCGATGTACAGTAGGAGTGATGACTATGAAGTCTTTTATCTTAAATAATTAGAAACAATTTGCGTCGTCTTTGATATTAATGAACAAGGTTAATACTAAGTAATGCTTTTCTTTGCTTTTTCCGGTTCAAGACTTGGATACCGATTCTCATTATTGCTTGTGAAGATGTATTTACTTTCAGTATTGCATAATATCATTAAGAGAAACTCAATGCATATTACTGTATTCCTTATTGTTTCTGAAAATGCAAACGGCTTCTCTTCTGACTGTACGGACAACCAATTGCATTTAATGCCTACTTCATTGACCAGATCCTATTTTTTTCATTTATTATTAAAAAATAAAATGTCTTCCAAAATAAAATCTGAAAAGGATTATTTAGGATGGTTTAAAGTAAAGCATTACAATAATGACCATTAATGACAGTACAGTAGGAGCAGATGTAGTATAGTGATAAACCTATTATTACTTGTGCTGCTCCTGTTGTAGTAGTACTAATAATTACTCATATTGTCAACTAATACACTTTACACACATCACTCAAAAAAACACGAACGTCCACCTAGTTTTCTGAAGATTTTGAGTTGTCTTTCTCCTAAACGTAAGGATTAGGAGACAGAAGGGTTTGGGAGCAGTTCTGCTTAGCTGCAGTGCTGCTGATCCAGATCCTGGTAGCTGCAGCTGTCATTATTGCTGGGGGAGGGGCCTTTAAGCCCATTGTCCAGAAGGTCCTGCTCCTTGACGATCTGCTCGGTGGCCGCACTCACCACGGTCTGGACGATGGCAGCTGCTGCTTCGTAAAACATCCTTTTCTGCTCCTCCTGCGGGTCAGTGACGTCAGGCTGGGTCACTCGGAGGCCAGGAAGTGGATTTCCATTGCGGTTGACCTCACCCCCGTGCTGCAGTGTGTCACAGGAGCCGGTATCTTGGTCGCCTGACAGCTTCTGGTCATTTAGACCCTCTGTGATCTGTGGCTCCTCAAGCACAGAGCGGGCTGGTTGAGGGCTCTCTGAAGAACAGCAGGCCCCTCCAGCTGTCTGCTCCTCTTCTGTGGTTTTTACAGAGTCCCCCTCCTCCGCAGGTGTCGTTTGTTCTGCTTCTGGACTGCTGGTTTGGACAGCTGGGCAAGCAGGAGAAGGGACTTGGCCTCCCAGCTTCATTTGTGTCTTTGCTGTGGTGTCATCTGAGCAAAGGCCCTCGTTCGAGCTGGCAGCAGTACGTGAAAATGTTTTGCTATCCTCAGATTCTCCTTGTGCTTGATGCGGTCCTCGGGGAACAGTTTTAGCTCTTTCCAGAGATTCCAGATCGTCGAGTCCACCCTCAGTGTCCAGTGCCCGGTCGAGTGTCGCATCGTCTGTGTCGGCCACAGAAAAATCGTCGGCCTTTTCTTCGGTTCTTTTACCTGCCTGATGAGAACTTCTCACTTCTGTCGTCTCAGTTGCCATGCCCCCCCTCTCACTTTCCTGTGAGCCATCTGGTAATGTGTCTTGCAGACTTTCACAAGCTTCCTTTTCTGAGCTGTTCTGAGCTGAAGCCAGTTTTAACACTTTAAGGCTTGCTGGGGTTTTGCTTTCAGAATTGTTTGTTCTCATTGACTCCTTAGATCCACTGTGTAAGGTTGGTTCTGTGGTGTTGGATTTTAGTTTTGGGTCTTGAGTGTGTGACCTGTCTGTATAGTCCTGTGCATGCTCTTGAGTGGTGTCTTCTGCATCAGCAGCTGTCTTCTTGGTCACAACCTCTCCAAGGCTATCTTCCCTGTCTGTGGAGACTGGATTTTCAGACGTGCTTCCACGTGGTGCCGATTCTACATCCTCTTCCTGATCAGTACTGCAGTGGGTAGGTTTCATGTCCACGTAACTTAGACTTAGAGAGCTGGCTTTGCTTGTGGTGCTTCGGTTTTGCATTCCTTGCTCATCTATAGCTTCTGCAGGTGTGAAGCTGATGCTCTTGTCCTGTTCTCCTTTCGGACTCCCCGGAGTGTCCCCTAGATCCATGCTTTTGCTCTTCCCTTTGCGGAGTATGAATTTTTTCAAGGAAGCAGCTCTAGAGGCAGCGGCCCTTTTTGAAGGCTGCCTTTCTGACCTGTTCAGATCTTGCCCAACCCGCTCATCTGTTGCAGGAGTCACTGCATCTCCTTCCTCATTTGTGGCATCTGGGGCTCTCTTTGATTTCAGGATCACTAGTTTTTTAAATGATACCCAGGCTTCATGGGCTTGCTGGTCTATTGATTTCGTGTGGCTGTGTGTGCCTGTCCCCTTCTCTTCCGCTTGGTCCGGATCATTTTCCTCAGGGCATATTTCTTCCCCCATAGTTTTTAAAGCCCTGGGGTCACCAGATGTTGCCGGTTCGCTTTGACGGGCCTCTGTATGACCTTCTGCTGCGTCTTTGCTGAGCACATTTTGGTTGTGGCTGCTGAAGAAAGACTGATCTTTCTTGAGCCCTTGGAATGTCCATGATCTCTTCATCCTCCGTCTCTTCTGCACTGCAAGGTCTGACCTGTCTTGTGTTTCTGATACATCCGAGGTTTTTGCATCAGGGTCCTGCTCTGCTCCACTGTCTGTGGCCCTTTTGAGAGTTTTCGGAACCATCAGCTTCTTGAAGGAGTGCCATCGTCTCATGTGCCCAGTTCCGTGTGGAACTGCCTTGGGCGTTTCCCCTTCTGCGTGTGGTCCAGCGGCCCGGTCTGTGCAGGCAGCAGAGACTTCCGAGTCCACCAGCCGGTCTAGAGACCTTGACCGCGTCTTGTCAGAATCTTCCTGGGCTCCAGCACCACCATCCTTGGCAACTGCTTGATCCCTCTTGTCTGTGCTTTTGTGCGATAACATTTTGGAGACGGGTCTCCGGATGAAATCTCGGACACCGGATCTCTCCATCTTCTTCGGCTTGGCATCTTCCTCTGGGCTCAAGGGCTTGGGCTCCACAGAAGCCTCCTCTGCCTCTTGCCTCTTGGTGTGCTTATCCTCTGCCTCTTGAATCGAGCTGTCAAACTCGCTGGGACCTGGTGCTGCAGGGCCTAGGGACAGCAGGCACTCCTCCACTGCTGCGCGCTGGCACTGAGCTGCAGGCCTTCCCGCCTCCTGCTCGCGGTCCAGGTCCCCTCCGCCTGCCTCCCCGGCCCCCACGGGATTGTCCCTCTTCTTCCTGCCACTCATCACTTTGCCCAGCCCCCTGCTCTTCCACAGTGAGCCGAAGAGCCTTTCGGTCCCGGATGAAGACGGCTGTGCTTTCCCACTGTCCCGTGGCAGCTCTGAGCACTGCTGCACCTCCGTCTGTCCTGAGCCGGGTTCGGAGCTCCTCGTCTCCGCCGGGGGGAGCTCAGTGCCTTCCCCCGCAGCCCGACTGTCCCTCCTAGCTGCTGCCATGCTTTTCGTCCTCGAACTTTGAAAAGCCTCTTGCCTGGTGTTTTTTTTTTCCTTCCCTGATCAACTTAAAATCAGTTTATTAATCATGAGCCGGCGGCACCGTTGTATCCCTCCAGTTCCCCTTCAGAGAGCAGAGAAGTCGGATGGGTTGAATCCCCCTCTCCATTCAGGCGCTTGTTCCCAATCTGGAGGAAGAAGGAAACAGCACTCAGCACAGTAAATCAGTCTGCCACGAGCCCGGCGGTGCAGTGTGGAGAGAGTGTCTGAGAGATATACAGTCATGTTTCAATGCTGCTGGCATTTGTCATTTACACAGCAAAACAGTTGGAAGTCTAAATGCTTAGAGATCAATATCAGCTTTAAGGGATTAACAATGTCGCATCAGCTGATCTTCAGCATTTCATAACGTAACTCTTAGAATTCTGCAGTGCTGTGTAGTGCATGTTGAAGGAATCAGTGCGCTGTGATGAAACAAGTATTCTCTTCATAAAAGATGAAAAACGAATGACAGGTTAGAACATAACAGAGAATAATGAGCTCATAAATCAACCTTATTACGCACGTGTAATTATGTGCACATCTGTACATTTCTTTTTAATATGTCTCCCCATTTCGTGACATTTTTCATCCTGAAAACAGCTCGTGCGCGTGTGGAATCTGTGAGGAGATGGTTGCTATCAAACATGTCTGTATCTCTGAAGAGTCTTGGTGTAAAGCATGACACCCCCATCTCCATGCTGCGCTGAAAAGGCTGCCATGGAGCACAGCCCTTGTGTGATTTCCTGAGCAAACAGCACTGTTCCATTGCGTTTATCTGGGCTTTGTGGAAACAGCAAATCACAAAGCTGGCTTGCGCAGGACCGCCTAGGAGACAGTGAACTGCAATACGTTTGTTGATGGAACGCAAAAAAGGAGACATAGGAGGGTTTATGTAGCTCAGGATAAAAAGCAAATGGGAGGCAGAAATAGACTGGTTGCCAGGGAAAGAGACCATTCCCTGGGAAGGTCTGAAGCCCTTGGCCTGGAGGCTTCTGAATCGAGACAGACAAAACCCAGGGGTCTATGGATGTGGAAATCTAAGGTCAAGGCCAATTCAAAATCAGCCACTAAAACAGATTTCACCCCCTGCAGCAGTCTAACGTGGCTTCACGAGTTCCTGGGGTCCAGTATTTGTTTTTTTAATGCACGCAGCTTCAATCATTTGTGAGCTGCAGCTTTTTGGATTCGAAGCGGCTGCCAGAGACTGATCCCGGGTGTGGGGGTGTGGTAGCGCTCGTACATCCCCGACAGCTGCGCTGATTGCGGTTTAATGAGCCACTAGCCGTCTGAACTGGACGCTTTCAGGCTGAATTTTTTTTAAAAAAAACATGTAGAACGAAGCTTTCATTTGCTGGATTTTGAGGGGGGGGGGCTGGTCTTCTTTCCATTGTGACGTGGAGCACAGGGCCCGCGCGGAGACGGGTCGGTAATTGAAATCGCTCTCTGGTCCCGAACGCCTGCTGCCAGCGCGCGGGGCGCGGGGCACGGGGCAGGCAGGTGGACCCACTGGCATTTTACAACGGTTTCCAGTAGCATTTAATTCTCCTCTGCTGCAGCCACACCTCTCAGTACCTGCAAAATAAACCTATCCGACCGCACGGCGGTGCATTGATGTCTACAGGGAGAACAAGTCATTCTCTTCTCCCGTTTGCACAGCAAATTAAAGTAAATATGTCTCGCAGATAAATGTGCCCCTGGATGTCCATTAACGTTGCGTATTACAATGCAATAAAGACATCTGCTGTTCCAGCAGCTTCAGCTGGGCAACAGCCTTGAAGAAAATTGTTAAATTGTGTTCATGCGGCGACTGCGCTGCTTTGTTGTGATAACAACAACAGCATTTTGTTTGTTTTTTTTTTCAATCAAGGGTGTGTTTGTAACGCAATATTTAGCTTTGAATCTCAGTGCGCAAATGAAACGCCATGGGCATTTTTGTACTGAAACATTAATTGGAACATCAAACTTAATTTCATTGACACTGTGTATTGGAGACTATACCACAGGGAAGACAAGTTGAAAAGGTCTCCTCTAGGAGATTTTACCAGTTCATAACGATACTTTAAAATTAGCTTTAAATGAATGACAAAATCTATATATAATGTTCCTATACAGGCCCTTACATTGAAGCGGGCGTAAAAGCATTCTCTGTTCAAATTCACAATTTGGGGGGTTGTAATACCTTAGAATTACAATACTATTACGATAAAAAAAAACGTTTTCTGAAATCAAAGCTATAACTAGGAACATAGATGTAAATCGTCCCACACTCCTTTTTGGTTTCGCCCCCAAGGGTGCCCGGGAGGCAGACATCGGCGATCAAGCTGCGCCTGGAAATCGTTCGGCCGTGCTAAGAGCCGCTCTTTTTCGGGGGTCTCGCACAACGACACGAGGGAGAGGAATGATGGCGGTCGCAGAAGCCCGTGAGACAAAAGGAAGCTTATTTCAGCAAAGCAACAGACTGTCTGCAGGCTGAGACGGCAGGGTCACAGCTGCCAGGTTTGCGCGACCCCTTGTCCCGCCCGCCGCGCTGTTTTCATCGGTACAACGCCGGGTCTCTGGGAGCTCTTTCGCCCCAGAAGCATCAAGATGAGAGCACCTCGAGACAACAAAAAAAATCGCGAGTCTGCTTTTGTCGAAAGGCTGCGTCTTGAGTGACAGATGGTTTAATTAGCTCAATTTAATATCGGGCGCGCGGATCCCATGCATTTCCAGTGCAGAGTAATTCGTGTCAGAGCGAAGTTGACCCAAGCTTAATTTACACCTGGCTAATTTTAATTAGTGCATTTGAGAGTGGGCAGACCTGCAATTAACCTGCAGCTCAGTATGTGCTCTCTCGCATCTCGGCAGGCAAGAGGCAACAAGACCCTCACTCCTACCAGCGCTGGACGTGTTGAGATACCTCAGCTATACCCTGCGAGACGCCGTGTGTCCGCTGGGTCACAATGAAGGAATTAAAACCTGCAGCAAATATCTCCAGTATCACTCAGAAGCCTGTTCAGTCCGTTCTGGTCTGCACCCGACTGACACTTCAGAAATCAAGCAACACCCTCCTGCAATCCACAGGACGCCCATTAAACACACGGGTAATTTATCGTTTTATAAATTCCGCATCATTATCCACTCACATCCTCAGGTAATTCTAAGGTCTATCGTCCAAGGAAAGTCTGTATCCATATATTTATACTGTATACTGTATACTCATACCTGTACACATCTACTTGAAAATAAACGAATACAAATAAATTAAAATATGTTTCTAGTCATGATCAAGCACAGGCAGAAAGCAGAGTAAGGAATATCTATACAGAAACAGCATTGTTCTTGAAACACTGGGTTTGAACCCCGTCTGCGTAATTCCGGCTCTTCAACTCCTTTAAGTCTGTTTTTCGATTGCTAAAGAAATTGGGGAACAGCGCAAACGTGCTGGGAACAAGGAGCACGCAGCCTCACAAGGGGGCCAAAACAGTTGTCTTGCGATTGCACAGCATTAAAAGAGCAATACGAACACAGCTGCTAATCCCAATCCATCCCAGTAATCGAATAAGAAGCATGCACTCACTTCTGTCTGCGGAGCGAGTCCCTCCCGAAGCCTGCTGCGCTGGGGATGGTGCGCGTCTTCGCCCTGAACGGAAGGAGGAGCCGCTTCGCCGCGCCTGGCCGCTGTGCCACTTCAGGACAGAGAGTTTTTGCTCGGAGAGCCGGGGGGGGGGGGCTCCGCACGTGCGGGGGGTCCGTCTCTCCCGGTTGCCCCTAGCAACCAGCCCCGGCAGCCGGGGCCCCGCGAGCGAGCTCGGGGCGGCTGGGCTGGGGTGGTCCTCCCTCGCGAGCTCTCATCTGCGCTCGGAGCTGGGAGCCGCGGCGTCCTGCCTCCGCGCAAGAGCCCGACCAGCCTCCCGCTGCTCCATCCAGGCGGGTTGTTGTTCCAGTCTAGCTACGTGCACCCCGCTCGTCTGCCGCCCATGTGACATCTGCCAGCGCTCTGGGGACAGGCAGCGCGGTTTTCATTCCAGCGAAGAGGAATTAGTCGCCCCACAGCACACATGACATCACACGCAGAGGCTTCGAAACCTAGAGACTGAGCTTCGTGCTTCGTGTTTTTTCAAGTTCTGTTTACGAAAGTATATAAACCTCTTCACGTTAATACACTCTTCTCAGGTGATTTATTTTTTTAATCTCAAAACGATTTTTTAAAATCCTTAAAAATGAAAAACTAGGGTAGTTTCCATTAGTTTGTCCTAGGAGAGCAAAACTGATTTCTCCCACATCTCCAATCCTTAGAACCTCATTTCTGTTCCACAAATCTGTGACCCCTTTGCAAAGCTATTAAATTATTTCAACAAAACAGAGGCCTTTACCTCATTGTGCTGCGTTACCTTTTAATCGCTGCTGCATTATCATCTTTAATTTGTCACATTTTAATGAAGAACACTCTGCAAAAAGAATGTGTTTTCTCTACAAATGTTATACTGAAAGCATGATTACAGTACCATGCCACTTTGTTATTTATATTACTACTTTTGAAGCTGTTACATTTAATTGCCAGTAGCATTAGGTTCTGTGCTGTGATCAGACTTTCTCTTTCAAACAGTTTCCCTGACGCGATGCTGCAGGTATTGGTTTTATGTGTATAAACATCTACTTTGCAAACCAAGAGAACTATGTGAGAGTTGACATGCTGCAGAGGTCCCGGTGTCTACAACAAAAATCATGATAAAAACTTGTCTTGGCAGAAACGATAAACCCGTCTTCTGTAGCTCGGGGGCCAATGACAGAGAAAGAGGAAAAGATGCAGCAAGTGATGAAAAAAATCAAATTTACTCTGTCAGTTCCTCTTTGCTTAGTTTTTTCAATATCAGGGCACATTTTGCCTTGTGGACAAAATAAATTGTGCGGCACGTTTGAAAGTATTGCTTTTGTGATTAATATTTCATCAGTGTATCCAAGAATCCGTCCACATTGTTCTTGGGCTCAAGGACAGCAGACAGGGGCTCGTGCAGGGGCACACGTGAAGCCTGTCAGCGTGCCCACTTGTGCCCACCAGTGTGGGCTTGGGGGCCTGGAAGGCTCGGCCCACTCCTATCCCCCTCCAGTTACTCCCCCCAGCTCCTAAATAAAATTCACATGAAGCCTCTGCTTTTAAAGCACACCCCCTGGGCTGCTAACGGGGGGTACTTTCAGAACTCCACTGCTGCCCAGCGCTCGTGACGAGTGTCCTTGGTTTGTGCCCTGTGCGGTGGGGTGGGCGCATCTCCGTGATTAAATCACGGGGATTAAACTTGATTTCGTCTTCTTCCAGCGGTGCACTTTATACATTGTTTCATTACAGCAACCTTAGCCCAAGAGCCTTTTGACCGAGTCTTTTTACGTTTCTGCTTCTTCTCTTTCGTTCTGGGTTGATGCACACGTGCAGAACGAAACTCTTCGCAGACGTGCCCAGGCTGCTCCTTACTGAGTTTACCTTGGTGTACCCCGCTAGAAGCACAGCCAGCCTGCAGTGAGACACAGATAAGGAGGGAGACTGGGAGTGGGCGATATCACTGCGGTACGGCTGCAGAGAGAGGGTGCCAGGATGCCACACACTCTTACCAGGGTCAGCAGGGTCCGCAGCCTCACCCTCCAAAAGGAAAGCCAATGCTCTGTTACCTCCCCACGCCCTGCCACAGCTGTATGCCTTGTGACGTGCAGGGGCTGCCTGCGTCTGACAAGGGTCCCTCTGAGGGCCACTCGCCACTCCGGGGGCGCAGGCTGCCCCCCCCCGCTGCTCGTCTCCCTCCCTGCGCAGACGGCTGGGCTGTGTGTCACCTCTCGTCCGCGAGGCACAGGAGCTCGGACACGGAGCGCAGCCGCCGACAGGAGACGGCAGCCACGGCTCGGCGGCCCCCTCAGTAAGACCTCTTTGTGCTGCGGTGAGGGGCGGCTTCGACATCTGGGTGGCAGCAGTCTGTGTTTGCAATGCAGTGTGGGATTTACCGAACAGACGCATTTACCTCCGATTTCACACCCCTGTTGAAGTACATCAGCCTCCTTCTCCCCATCTTCTCCGGCACAGACCCGTTGTAACGAGCCTTCATCTTCATCGCCTGTTGGCAGGCGCCTGCCTGCCCAAAGCGGGGGCCGCGTGACTCAGTCTCGCTGTCCTCTGGGGTGTGCGTGATCCAGAGGGGTGACACACAGCCCAGCCGGCCCCCCAGGCTGTCGGACAGCACTCGGACAGCAATAACAAGTAGGAAGCTCCCTCTCCCTGCGCACCTGCCATGAATGGGAGGAGGATTTCTAAGGGGGGGCGCAGGTCTCTCAGCCCTGCGCCCTGCTGCCTGGCTTGCAGGGTGGTCCGGGCCTCGGGCTGCCCTGAGGAATTTCCGCAGCTTCACGCTGCGACAGGCGCCAGCAGGGCCGGCATCGGGGTCGTGAAGCCCTGACCGACGTCCCTCATCACAGCACGGAGGAACCCCAGGAGACACACCAAGCACTAGTGTTCATGCAGATTCACTCGGAATGACAACACCCAGGAATAAAGCATCGTGGAAGGATGGGGGAGTGACATTGTGGCTGAACCCGCTTGGCGGAGGGCCGACCTCCTGCCCAGAGGACCCCCCGCAGAGAGAGGAGTGACCGAGGGGCAGCAGCAGAGGGGGAGATGGGGTGGAGGAGGGATGTGTGAGGGAGAGAAGGGGATCATGCAGGTATTTACAGTGTTTTAGGAGAGGCAGTGACATCAGCAGTGATGCCAATTAACGACAGTCGAGTCTGATTGAACTTGGTTGTCGTCATCCCTCCTGAACCTTTGTTACAGACTCCTTAAAGCTGCAGGGATTCTTCAAGCTCAATCAGGAGTGGAGTGAGGAACTGAAAGAGAAGGTGAGGGAAGGCGAGGCAAATTTATTTCTACAGCACATTTCCGTACACACAGGTAGTTCAAAGTGCTTTATACGAATACAAACCATAAAAAACAGAAAATTAAATAAATATCATAAAAGAAATAATGAAAAAACACAATAAAACTAAGATTTAGATTTAAAAATGGCGAAGGTTGGGGCATATCTAAGATCCTTCGGGAGCTGGTTCCAGCTGTGAGCAGCGTAATGGCGAAATGCCATTTCACCGTGTTTGGTTTCAATTCTTTTAACTTAAATTAAATAAAAAACATTCTTAACATATAAATCCAAACTGTATTAGTACTCCATAGGTAGTACATCATATATAATTAAAAAATTAATAGTCGCCTTAAGATAAAATTCCTGAATACATGCAATTATTTTCTCTGCCACCAGGGGATACAGCAGATGAACCTTGCTTTGCTAATGAAGCAGGAGCTGTAACAGATGCAAACTCCACCAAATGACACCCCAACAAATAGCAAGCTCTTCTGCTGCTTATAAGCTTGAAAACAGCTTTTGGAAGGGCCAGAGGCTGGATCTTCTCCTTTATGTCAGGGATGTAGATAATAACTTACATAACGCCCCAGAGCACTGCAATGCATTGAAGAATAATAGTATGACGTAGAACAGGCAAATGCCAATGTCTCAAAAAGAAGACGCAAATAAATACCATCTTGTACCTACAGTACACCACAATATGGATATCTGTATAAGTTGCAATGCAGGGGTCTACTGTTTAATAATTTGATATTGAGAATGTGTGTTTGTTATGTGTGCATTGCACAGTGAACATAACTCAAGGGAGCACACATCATACAAGTGCATGGCAGGCTTGTGTGTGGTGTATGGCCTGATGCAGGAGAGTGAAGTTGATCCCATGGTCATGAATGTGCAGTGAGAAAACTGCATGGTTCCACTGTTCTGGGCCTTTCAAATGCTCACACTCAAATGGCAGAGCTCTGTCTATATATTTTCAGATATGCATATTAGCATTTAGACTGAAATCAAGGGCTTGATGTGCTGAAACTCGTCCTCTCTGAGTTCATTTAGGTAATCACACTTTCCATGGGACATTAATCTGCATAATTAGATTTACAGCCACACTGCACAGGGAAGATCTTTTTATTGTGCGTGCCGAGGAGACGAGCGAGAGAGAACCGAGAGATCATTTCTGTATTTCTTTTTCTCTCACCCTTTAGGTGCTAAAGCTAATCTTGCTCACGATATTACACTGGCTAGCGAAGTAGAAACTCCCTGTCGCGTGGAGCAGAACATACCCTCTGATTCGCAGCTGTGCAAGAGAGTTCTGCAGTCTTAATGGACCCCCAGCCCAGGGGCCACGTCCACTCACCCACCCAAAGGTATTTTATAGCCTTTCGCCTATACTCCACTGCCAAGCTACGTTCATATTTCAGTTTGGAAAGAATCAGCATTGATGAGTGCATTTCAAACCGCAACGAAAGTTAAATGCACACAGTAACTTGCAGGATCTCCAGTTTACATCACAAAAATATCCTGGATACACACTGCCATGTTCTGCGCTTCAGAACGAGGCAACAAAACTTCCAGTGGCGTGAAGTGGCCACATCCTAAACAAGCAGGCCTGTGAATACAGCTCTTTTAATCCCATGGAAATATTACTCTCGACTTCGAGAGTTTTGGCAATAAATACCTCCTCATGCGGATCACAACGGAAACTTTCTGTGGCTCAATGTCTGCTCGTCCATCACAGTACATTAGTCATTACAGTGACTAGTGAGCAGGAAGGGTCATTTCACATCGCAATTCGTGGGAACTAGAATATGAGTTTGCAACAACATGGCGACTTACAGTACTTTCACAAAGCTCACGATTGTGAATTTATTTTGTGGCTGATATTCAATAAACATTGTGGGAAACTGGGACTGCAGTTCCTCTTTAACACAGCAGGTGCCTCAGAGTCGGATGGGTCCAGCTGGTGATGAAATAATTAAGATAATTACGAAAGAGGTCGTCACGATTGTCACGATTCTAATCCCTCTCCCTGAAGGGGGGCTCCGGCTCTTTCGCATTTGACCTGATCTCCTGCACCTGCCTCCTGTTCCAGCCTCCCCCTTAAAAGCCAGACGCTCCCACTATTCCGGGCTCAGCATTGGAAGATGGACGCCACAAGGCTTGCCTGTTTTCCGGGTTGTCCAAAGGCAGGCCTTTTCCCCGGCGTCCTGACCAGCTGGGTCCGGGGTCCAGATCCCGCTCCGGCTTTTAACTCCATTTGTCATGGATGGACCACCCAGCTCTGGACATTTGCCTCCCCACGGATTTCCCTACGAACACCCTTTGGACTGTTTGCCTGGACCACGCCCCCCTGAGCACCGAGCGCCTTCGTCACGCCCCCCTGTTCGTCTACAAGCCCAGTTCCTCGTCTCCCCCCCGTGTCTGCTCACTCCCCTCCGGATTGGGCTGTCTGCACAGGGTCCTGAAAGACGCTCCGTGACAATTACGCTCCAGGACCGGGCTTGGAGACCCCAGCCGCGGACTCCTCACAGGTCCCAAGCGGATGTGGGTGTAATAATAGCAGGCCTTAATACTTTCTTCTTAATAACACTGGGAGTTAATAACAGGCAGGCTTGCAGGGAAACAGTGAATTTTCCGTTGCAGTCCCTGGTGATGCTGCTGTGAGGTTTGCGATACCTTCAGTGATTTGGCTTGCAGTGTTTAAACTCAGGAAGGTAGCAACCCGTCAGTCCTGATCAACGTGATTGATTTGGAGCCGCAGGGAGAGAATCTGGTCCCTGTGCTTCACAGTCCATCTAACAGGCCTCATTAGCTCCAGAATGCTATCAGCCTCTCCGGCGTGCAGGACGGGCAGGGGAGACACGCTGCAGACACTCGGGGGATTCTTTCATTTACACCACATTTCTCTTCAGGGAATTGGACGCAGCAGATAAATTTGACCAAGAAGCGGAGTTGAATATTAATTTACTATTCTGTGTATGCAGTCTTGGGCAGACGCCAAGACAGGTGTTTCTGTGGGGTTCTCTTGCGCTCGTAACATGTATTCAGGAATCCTTTTTCTCCGCCTCAGAATACAGCCATCGAAGGAGGTAGTCAGAGGTCAGCGCTCCACCGGGATACAGCACTGACAGAAAGCCTTCCTGCGCCGGGTGTAATGGATCCCAGACTGCGGAGAGCAGCCTCTCGAGATGAGCTGCCTTCATAAAAGAGCCTCACGCCGAGCTGTAGCTTTGAGAGTCGAGCCGCTGAGTTAAAGAGCAAGCTAACAAGAGGTGGGTTAGGCACCTGGCTGTGAAAGTTTGGTGCGAGCCCCAGGTCTGCCCGCCGCGTCCCTCGTCAGGCTGGTGGTCACACATCGTTTTCCCATTAAACTCTCTCCACTCCCATTTCTGCGCTCTTATATTCCAGTGTCCTCCGCTGCCGAGGGCACATTCATTTCTCCATCAGAGCACCCACGTGCTCCTGCTCCCGACGCTGGTGATCGATTCCCCTAGCTGACGGAAAATATGAAGATCTATTCTCTCCCCCCCCCAGTCATCTAAAGGCATGCTCATTCATAAATCTCTGGCCGGGATCAAATCTCACAGCACCTCCATCTTCCTGCCAGCCTTCTGCGTCCGTCTTCCAGGCTGCCGTAAATTAGATTCGCTCCAGCCAGCGAGGCCCCCAGAGACGCAGACATAGCAGGCACGGAGGCGTCTACACACGTGATCAAGAGCTCTTTCTCTGCCTTCGCTTAGCTTTCTCCCTTCATTAGGTCATGGGCTCAGCAGGATCTGGGCAAGAGGTGATGGATGAAGGCTGGGGAGACCGGCAATGATTTCATTTTGTTGAGCTCATTTCTCTGCTGGTCTGGATTCTTTGTGCAGATCTGGGGGAAATTAAACTGTCTGTCTACAGCTCTCAGGGTGCCTTAGGTATCTGCAAACTGGTCAAGTGCCCTACAGCTAACATATGGAAAAATGACACAAAATTCTGTTGTTTTCCATCACAGAGGCAGCTATAACATATTTGGAGAAAATGTTCGTTCTTGACCATCAGTTGCGAAATCTAGAAAATGCTAAAATACAAATAACTATCAAAGTATTCATTCAGGTGTTCTCTGTATAGACTGTATACTGGTGGCAGCACATTATTCAAGATCAATATGAGATGAGATTAATTTGTTCAGACACAAAATAGTACTGTTTACAATTCTCCAGAATAATGTTCATAGATCTCCTTTGAAAGTTTTGCATCTTTGAGGCATGTCACAAATAACAATGTATCCATCCATTTTCTAACAGAATAATAATAATAATAATAATAATAATAATAATAATAATAATAATAATAATAATAGATAGATCATCATCATTATCATCTTTATTTATATAGCAACTTTAAAAGTAACATCTTAAAGCACTTTATAGTAGGTGTAAAAAAGGGTTAAAAACTGTTTTTAGGATAGCGAAATTCAAAATAAGCACATATAAGAAACACAAACAGTTAGAACTGCAGCAGAAGATGCATAGTCTTGAGAAAGTGGAGAAGACACAGATGTTAATTAAGTAAAAGCCTGAAGAGAAAGGTTTAGAGTCCGGACTCTAATTCACTCTCTGATATCCCTGAGGAGAGAATTCCAGAGTTTTGGGGTGCAGCAGGAGAAGTCTATGTCACCAATAGAGTGTAGACAGACATGGGAGACAGACAGGAGACCGGTGTCAGAGGAACGAAGATAATCGAACAACCTACCTGCGTAAGACTGATGCTGACAGGACAGACCTCCCTTCGTATAAAAACTCACATACTTTCTGCACTACTAAATTTTATTGTACAAAATTCCATCTGTGATGTTGGTTTTCTCTGAGCACACAAAAACAAAGGATCACAATCATGCAATGATTTTGAGGATGCCTTCTCATCCAGCACATGTGGACGGTTTAAAATGTAGCATCTCCAGCACACAGCTGGAGGCCGTGAGTCGAAACACAGCCCAGGTGTCTGTGTGAGAAGTGTGTGCGATGGAATGGAAGTATTTATCACAAGACAGGTTTCAGTCAGATTGTGTTGCAAATCCTGTTCTCAAGACAAACACTCTAACAGAGGCTCACAACATAAAGCACAGAGTTCAAGGCACATTCTTCTGTAGATCACAGTGCAAAAGAACTGTCTCATCTCATCTCAAAGGTGACCCTCAGAATTCTACACTGCTACAGTAACCAGTGAAGTGGTCTCTTTAGACTACCTACTCCGAAAATAGACAAATCTGGTTACAAGAAAACAGTATTTGAAGTGTAGAGCCACAAGGTGCATGCAGCCGTTTTCTTAACGTGTTCCTGAAAAATATTTACCTTTCATTAATGTCCTTGTTTTTCTTAATGGGACTTTCCATGTCTCCGTGAAAGGAAGACAGTTCCTTCATTTCCACAGCCCTGAAAGGCATGTCAGCTCGCAGGCATCGCCATCGTCCTCCACGCGCCGTGTAAACCTGGAGACGGGTTCGAGGCTCCTTCACGTCGGGGGCGGGCCGTTGACGTAGTGCAGCATGAGCCGCAGGGAGCGGGCGAAGGTGTTGGCGCGATGGCAGCGGGGGTCGCTGGCGCCGGCCGGGAGCTGGCGCAGGAGGGCCAGGACAAGGGCCAGCGAGAGGAAGAGGAAGAGGGCGGCCTTGGCCAAGCGCAGGAGCACGGGGGCGTGGCGCCGCCGGGCAGCTCGACCGGTCCTGCTCTGTGGGACGCACTCCGCTCTGCAGAGGCAAAACACAGGGAGACGGCGTCAGGCAGAGGCACACTTGTGCAATGTGAATATATTACAGCACATACTGTATGACACAGTGATCACACAGTGGGTGTTTAATCATTATGAAGCAACAGTGGGCAGCACAGTGGTGTGGAAGATAGTGCAGCTGCCTCTCCTGTCTTCAGACATGGGGCCCAACGCAGACCCTTGCGGAGGACTCTGTGCGGAGCTTGCATGTTCCCCCAGGTCTGTGCAGGTACTCTCAGGGTGTTCTGGTTTCTTCTGCAGCCCGCTGGGTTATTTAGCGCCCCCAGATTGTCCCTGTGTGCTTGTGCCCAGCAATTGTCTGGCACCCCATCCAGGCTGCAGTGTACTGTGGTTGCAGTAACCCAGACGGATGAATAAGGAAAAGTAAAATCTGCTTCCATTTGTAGAGTGTTTTTATTCCAAAGGATCCCAAAGTGATTTTCAGGATATAAAGGAGGGGACTCACGTCATTCACAGCACCCAGCTGAACTTCTGGGTTAGAATTTGTTCTACTCTGTATTTTCTCCTTTATTATAGGAATGTGGTTGAAAATTAGCTACAACTAAGAGGCGCGTTCACTGTGAAACAGCATGCGACAGATTGTGAGTGCCAAGTTTTGTTAAAATATATTTTTTAGTTATGTACACAAATTTTTATAAAAGACATAAAGCTGTTTTTAGCAATTTTTATGTTTGCCATTCTAATCATGTGCTTCAGTTTGCACTACGTTCCTCCTGTGTTCTCCTTGTTTATGAAAAATGAACATTATAAATGACAGTTTTGTTGTTTCACAGTACAAAAATAGCACTTTACTGACGTAGGGGGAAATATGAAAACTCAGAATCCCTGTTAACAGTTTAATACCGTAATCTTACTGATTCTCTAACTCTATATCTAGAAATGCCCTTTACAAGTTAGTTTCAGGAATAAAGCCTTGAACTGTCTGCTGAAAGGCAGCAGGAGGAAAGGAAGAGGATCCGATTCTCTTGTTCCAGCTAAGCTGGTCTGATTGAATTCCAGGAGGTAACAAAGCTCTTACTCGGTATCGATGTTGATTTTGACTTCGGGGATGCCAGGGCAGTTGATGCTCTTGTCCTGGACCTGCTGCAAACAGAAGAGATGAAAGAAAGACAAGCTGGGGAGTGGCCGAGTGTGAGGGTGGATATCTCTGGGTGTAAGATGACATTTCCACAACAGGCACTACGGTATTGTGGGAAGACTGGATGTCACCAGTGCGCCTCAGGTCTGATTTAAATGAATGTGGCATTTCTCTAAACTACAGCCATGTCTGCTCTCGGTCAGCACTCAAGTCTAGACCTTCCCTTAGTCTGGTTTCTGTTGAACTGGGAGAAGAGAGTACCTGATTACCTGAGTCCTCCAGAGATGGGGTGCTAGTCACCCTAGTAAAGGCATTACTCAGCTATACAGCTGGGGGCACCAGGGCTGTCCACACTAGGGCTTGAAACAAACACGTAAACGAGCGAATGTTTAACCTGCACGCCCGGGTGCACGTCTGGGTGTCTCCTGCGTCTGCTCCACGGTGCGGGGCCGTTTGCGTCCGACACCTTCCCTTGTGTCCGACTCCGGGCGCTCCGCTCCTCCCCAGCAGGACCGGAAGTGAGGTGAAGAGGAGAGGCATTTCCTGGGACACATGGCATCCCCTCCTGAGGCAGCCTGAAGCACTGGCACAGGGATATAGACAGAGTCACTGTTCACGCAGCTACGCCACAGAGCCCCCGACAGTGAAGTCTCCAGGCTTCTACAGCTCTGATAGCAGTAGTGATTAACACTCCCTCTCCGCTCCAATGAGGTGGATTTTCGGGAGATAATGTGCGCAGAACGTGGAGCGCTGGTGCACACCAGCAGGTCTTATGAGTCACCCCCAAACCATCCATTTCTAAACAAAAGGAGCTGTACAGTGTTGAACCACAGTTCAGAGATCATTTGAAATGAAACCCAAGGCTGACCACTAAGCTAAGCACTCAACAGGGTTCTGTCAGGTGAACTGCACTTCTGTGTTTAGCCCTGTCCAGAGTTTTTGATTGCAGAGTAAAACAATCATCTACACAGGTCATCTTTGGAGCTGAGTGAGACATAAAACCAACGTCCTGACTCTCTGTGGTCATCCAAGAGTGTCTCTTGAAAAGAGTAGGGGTGTGACTCTGGTGTTTTGGCTAAATTCCCCCCTGGCCTTGACCAGTCATGGCCTCCTAATAATCCCCATCTCTGAACTGGCTTCATCACTCTTTTCTGCTCCCCACTGAGAGCTGGTGTGTGGGGAGCGGACTGGAGCATCATCCAGGTGGGGCTGCACACTGGGGGTGGTGGAGGAGATCCCCATTACCTGTAAAGCGCTTTGAGTGGAGTGTCCAGAAAAGTGTTTTTAAAACAAAGCTGTATATGAATGAGTGTGATTATTCAGTTTACACATTATTTCACACCCATAAGTGTTTTCACAATGGTAATGAACTGCCACAAGGAACTGTGCAAAACTGATTTTTAAGCTATGGAGCAGGGGTAGACAGGCGATTTATACAGTCAGTACCTTCCGAGTGTCGTCAGTCTCCAGGGCTTCACCGTGAGCCGGCACCTCCAGTGCTCTGGGGGCCTGACGCAGAGGTGACTCTGTCTGCCCCAGCCACGCACTGATGCGCTCTGGGTCAAAGGTCACAGGCTCAGCCAGGTGTCCACTGGACGTCAAACGTGGCCCAGAAATGTGGTGAGGACTGTCTTCACCTGAAAAACACACCGGAATGTTCAAATGAATTCTACTCAGGTGTGCGAAGGTATTGAACGAAGCTGAGGCAAAAGGATGAGGAGGAATGCTCTGTGATAAGACAAACGCTCTGAGTTTGAGGTGCTCATTTTCTAATGGCAGGGCCCTGTCGCTCCAAGCTGAGCTGCAGACAGCGCTGCGCATGGCTGGGGTGTGCAGGTGTGCGTGGGCGTCCCGCAGGCCCAGTGCCTTACCTGACTCCAGGCTGCCTGGCAGTGCAGAGGGGCCAGGCCGTCTCGAACCCTCGTATCCCACATCGCATTCTGTGCCCTGAAGCAAACACAGGGGAGCAAACCATGAGCCTCTTATCTCCATCCAGAGCTAGCTCATTACATGAACCCGGGGGCCTCACCACGTCTGCGGTGATCACGTCAGACTGCGACCCCAGCGAACTCAGGAAACTCCTTCTGTTGGCACGCGTGTCCTTGGACAAGCTGTCTTCCTTATGGGGCAGCCCTGTGAAACAAAATGATGTCTGACTTTCATACATTTTAATTTGAAGCCACCGGTCAAGGCCAATGTTTCTCACCTCTCCCGAAAGCTGCCTGCCTGCCCCAGCAGGGTCAGCAGGCAGGGGTGGGGGAGTGATACAGGGACAGAAGAGAAATACGTTTGCCGCCAGCCCTGGATGGGGCACTAGGGAGGATCTGCAAGCTTTACTCGTAAGAAATCTGGGAAATTGGAAGTTTAGCAGCCGGAGTCAGTTCTCTTATCCTCTCCGGGGAGGCGCGTGGCTTACCCGTGACGACGCTGAAGTAGGAGGAGTCGGCGTCGTCGTGGGAACCGGACCCCCCCACGTCCACGGAGGGGTCCCACTCCAGGGCCAGGGAGTCCAGGCTGGAGCCGGGACCCAGGCCTGCGGCAGGGGAGAGGGAGCGCTGAGGATCCGACACGCTGCTCCGGTCGTAAATCCCCTCGTCTTCCCACTGCGCCTCCGAGTCGGAGCCGGAGTGCTGGTCCAACAGCAAGTCCTCCTCGAACACCTGGGGGACAGGAAGGACGGGAGTGAGGGAGGACCCAGCACACCTGAACACCGCTGAGCACACAGTGCAGGAGTTCGCAGCGCTCACTCCTGAGCCCAGCCCTGCATTCGGGAGACAGACATCAGGACTTTATTCCAACTCCAAATACTTCATTCATCCCAAGGGGGCAATTTAATTGTACACGGCTTATCAAAACAACCACTCAGGTCTGAAATGGGTGTCGCATTAAACTGAAAGCTGCAGGATGCTGGTGCAGGAAGACAGCTGACCATCCCTGTGTTCAGGATCAGCACAGATCATTACAGACCTGGAGGTATTCTAGGTAACCTAAAACCCTCAATGGCTGAAAGACCAGAAACAGAGCGTGTTTACTCCAATAAAGCCAGTAATTCGCTCAAGTGGTGCTGATGGGAAATGAGCCGCGCTGGAGTTCTGCAGGAGGGGAGTGCCAGAGCTCACCAGTCGCATGCTGAGCAGACGCGTGTGCAGCCGCGCCACCCCGTCGAAGACCCGGGCGCAGTACAGCAGCAGCTCCTGCAGCTCCTCCTCGATCTCCTCGGCGTCGCCAGGCTCACTGCGCTGGATCAGCCTCTCGCCCCACTCCAGCAGGCCGGTCAGCCGCTCCGCGTTCTCCCCAACCAGCACCTGGAAGGTCTGCTCGCACACACCTCCCGCCAGTCAGCCCAGTGAGGAGCGAGCTCAACACACAGCGTCACCGCCGCGGGCCTCTGTTTGTATGTCACTGTAGCTCCTCCCCTCTCCCCATCTCTCCTCCCCCATCCCCATCCCGCCTTCATCTCTCCTCCCCCATCCCCATCTCTCCTCCCATCTCCCCCATCCCTCCTTCATCTCTCCTCCCCCATCCCCATCTCTCCTCCCATCTCCCCCATCCCTCCTTCATCCCTCCTCCCCCATCCCCATCTCTCCTCCCCTCTCCCCCATCCCTCCTTCATCTCTCCTCCCCCATCCCCATCTCTCCTCCCCTCTCCCCCATCCCTCCTTCATCTCTCCCCCATCCCTCCTTCATCTCTCCTCCCCTCTCTCCTGCATCTCTCCTCCCCTCTCTCCTGCATCTCTCCTCCCCTCTCTCCTGCATCTCTCCCTCCCTCTCACCTGCAGCTCCTGCATCTCTCCTCCCCTCCTGCATCTCCCCCTCTCTCTCACCTGCAGCTCCTTCATCTTTTCCGAGCTGTTGTTCCCAGAGAAGTGCTCCACTTCAGTCAGCCGGAGGTTCAGCTCTGCCAGCCAGATGGCGATGTCCTCTCTCTCGCTTTCGAACTCCTCCCGCTGGTTGACAAAGTGCTGCAGAAGACCAGAAGATACAACACATTCACAAGTGCACTGGCAGTCCCATCCATTAGCTGTTCTGTTTCATGGGGGGAGGAAACATCTCCCATTCTTCCGCGTAATGAATTAGTACAGGTGTTTTTACCAGTTGTCTCTATCTTGTGGGTTTCGTGTTGTTGTCCTGATATAGCTTTTGTAAGGTGCATGCTTCCCCTGTGATTTAGCAGTTGTGCATTAACTTGCTTCTCATCGTCTGGTTCCACTGTCTCATTGCCTTGGGCTATTAGCATAGTTGTATTGCCTACAGTGTGAACACATCTCACCACACCAAAGAGCTGGGCAGTGCTGTGGGTTTGTTTCTTGCCATGCTCAGGACGTTTCTCAGTTTGCACCGTCCCCGAAGCCTAGATGTTGCATTCTGCGTTGGTGTTGTGCAAACAAGTGGTTCCCCGAGGGGGTGTTTCTGGAGAGGGGCTTGAAGAGTCAACCTTGAGCCTGCGGCACACGTTGTCCACGGTCCTGCTGAGGAGGTCCCAGCGCTGGCTGCTGTCCTGGAAGAGGAGCTGCAGCTTTGTGCCCACCTCACAGCCGTAGACCCTCGCCAGGCACCGGTACTGCATGTTCATGGACTGCAGCTGAGCCAGACGAGCTCTCACCTCCCTCTGCAAGCCCTGGCGCCAAAGACAACACCTCACTGGAACACACCGCAGCTGAGACACGCTTCGCACAATTAGGCTTAGGAGAACCCAGCCTGACAAGCCAAGGTTTTGGGTCACATGTCTTCATTAGCTTTAGCCTTTGACAGCTTAATTAAAGCTGGATTGCAAACCAAGGACATTCCCAGCAAGAAACCAGCCTGTGGCTCTAAAATGCAGGGATATCAAACTCTGTTCTTTGATGGTATTAAGTGTTGTTTTCACCTGCATGAGGACTGGAAGAATTGTCTCCAGGTGAGAGAGATGCGAGTTTTCATTTCTGAGCCCTAATGTGCAGGCCTGGAAAGGAAGAGGCTAATCTTGACGCTGGCCCGGATGCTTTCGCCTCACCTCAAACTTCCTCAGCTCCTCCTTGGCAGTGATGTACGGGACCTGGGCGGAGTTGGGGTTGGCGGCAGAGCTCTCAGCCAATCGCAGCCAGTCGCCGAAGTGTGAGTGGGCCTTCAGGAACTGCTGCCACAGCCTCCAGCCCTGCTCCAGCCTCAGATACACAGACACACAATGCAACAAGGACCCTGGCTTTGTGAAACAAGTGCTACTACACGGCTTATATACACACCGGACTACAACTAAGATTGAAAGTTTAAATTGGACTGGAAGACCCAATGACCCTCGCCTTTCATTAGAGTGCTCGCAGAAGTCACCGATGCTACTGTACACACTAGCACACAGCGCAATAATCCAAGAGATCACCTGTCCTTTATGTCATGCTTACCTGCTCGCTTGCAGGCACATGTTGTGAGAAACCAAAAAATGACTGAAAGACTCCAGAGGACAAATATCAATTGCACAGCTTGGATGCTTTTCTCTCTGTGCCCATAACTCTTCGTTTCAGTCCTCCCAGATTTCAGCCTTGCCTAGTTTCCAGCCCCAGTACGTTGTCTATCCTAGGTCTCTTCTTCGAGAAGAAAGAAAAGCATGAGCACAACCATACTCACTGGATATGCATTTCCAAGGAGGTGTTGCACACATGGCAGTGGGTATTTTGGCACCCCATCACCAGCGGAGGTGCTGGATATAGGTGGTTTCCATTCATCTCCAGTGGGATGAGGTACTGGCTGACTTCAGGAGTCGGCGCCGGGTCCAGTTCCCCACGGCGGGCCTGACCATCGGGGGCCTCGTGTCCGTCAAGGGCCTCTCGCTGGTCCTCCTCATGCCAGCGACAGCCTAGGGCCTCCAGGCTGCGGAGGCCAAGAGGATTGAGTTGGCCACCAGAGCTCCCTGCTCCTCCCACTGGGGAATCTCCGGGCATCTCGGCATCACAGAGGACAACCTGCAGGATGGAAGACGAAGAGCCGTTGGCCAAGCGGTCTGGAGGGGCCACAGAGAATCACCCCATTGACACCTGGGAAAGACGTCAGTCTGGCTTCAGTCATTGCAAGGTCAGGCACAGCACAGGCTGGAACGCTACGTGTTCCTTCTTGCTGCGGCTGACAGTTTTCCAGTATAAAACTATCAAGCTGGAATCAATTCTAACCACAAACGTATAACATTTGACTAAGTTAGACAGAAGATCTTAGAAGGAGAGAGAAATCTACATGGAGGAGCCCTCTCAGAGATATAAAACAGCTGTAATTAAAGGAGCGATCTGGGATCACTGTGGCTTTCTCTGACCTAGTCGTGTATTCAGTAAACTCCAGTGCTCTTATCTTGGTTGTGGTACACGGCTTCCATAAATTAGGAAACGGACTTTTATGTTTGTAAAAAAAACATTAATTGTAACCATGCTAGATTAAAAATCTGGTGGAAACATCGGAGAACCTCCAGAACTTGATCAGCAGAGTCCTGTGTTGGAAAGATAAGAGGGCCCGACTCTGAGATTTACTGCTCAACCTGTAATTAGACATCATAATTCAAGCCACAATTACGGCAGCGCCGCACTAAAATCTCATCTGGTTAGACCCCATCAGGAAAAAAGGCTCAGTCAGTGATTCGTAGCCTGTGACTTGTATTGCAGAAGAATTCAGAATATATTAGTGGTACAGAGGATTGCCTGAACTTGCAGAGGCAGACTGTCACAATGTGTTAATTGAGTGGCTGTACATCTGCAGAGGAGATTCTAGGAGCTGTACAGAGGTTTTTTTTTTTCCTTTAGCTCCCAGTAGGGGAAACCCTTTTCAAACAGCCCAGTTTTACAATGGCTTTTTTCCTGCTCCCCAGGCAACAGAGTGCCTGTCAACCTCCACGTAATCAGTGGCTCATAAGGTGTTTCTTGAGACAACACACAGATACTTTGTATGTCGTGATCTAATACGACATGCCCTTGAAGTCAACCCCCCTCCAATAACGTTACTTTGTCAGTAAATTACAAGGATGGAGAAGCGATTGTTTGCTCACTAGGCAAGGAGACTTGTTCACCATAAGAGACGGGTTTAGCCACTACTGACCCTGTCCAGTGCTCCTGGCAAAGCCAATTTAACCAACAGCCCCTCTACTGTCCCCTTCCCTCCCAGCTCTCCCTCTCTCCCTAAACACTGGGCTCCAAAGGTCACAGAGCCCAGTAATAAAAGTCTTATCAGCCTGACAGACAGAACAGTGTATTGAGAAATTGGTGGCAGGCAGGTGAGGCAAACACTGTTAATAAGGTTTTAGTGCCTGTCATAAACATATGGGTTGTACACCACAACAGCAGCCAGTTGCTTAGAGGAAAATTTACAATAAGTGGAATTCAGCTCCTTTTTTCCCCAAGAATCACCATTATACTGGCCGTAACTCTTTGTTTAAATCCTTCCAGATCTCAGCTTAGTTTCTCTGCTTAGTTTCCAGGCCCAGTACATTGTCTTTCCCTGTGTCCCTGTGTAATAGGGATGTCTATCCCTATTATACTGTTGGTTAGAAAATGGAGGTTTTGAGTGTAGTTTAAATTGGGCATCTCCAGCCCAGGTCCTGGTCTTGAACTAGAGCAGGGTTGGGCAGTCCTGGTCCTAGACTGCTGGTTGCCAGCAGCCTTTATTCCATCTCAGCTCTTAAAAACTTAAATCTGCTCAATACCGGCTTATTTGGACCAATTAAATAGCTTCTCACTGCTCTTCAGGAGCCGGTGCTTGTACACAGTGTTTCTGATCCAAAGCCCTAGGGAACGCCTGTGCTTGCTGGTTCTCCCTCCTTCCCGCTGAGCTCTAAATCCCCAGCGCCTGCTGATGTCTTTAATACTGTACATCTGATTACTCGTTTAGACCTTTCACTGCTTCTGCACATCAGTCCTGACTTTCAAAGATACCCTGCTTCAAGGGTATTGATTCCAGCAGTTTTAGCACACAGAACTTTAAACAGCCTCTCCTGTTCTTGCTCACTCTTGCTGCCGACAGAACAGCTGGGGGTGTCAATGTATTAAACGCTAGCGCGTCCGACTCCAGATCAGAAGGCCGCGTGTTCAAATCACGTCGGGGTCAGCTAATGCTTTTTGAGGGCGGTGTGGAAGCTCTGTGGCTCAGGATCCGCGCCTGTGGCTGGAAGGTTGCCGGTTCGTATCCCGTGGCCGGCAGAGGAGTCCTACTCCGTTGGGCCCCTGAGCAAGGCCCTTAACCCAGCTGCTCCAGGGGCGCTGTACAATGGCTGAGCCTGCGCTCTGACCCCCAGCTTCTCTCCCTGTCTGTGTGTCTCATGGAGAGCAAGCTGGGGTCTGTGAAAAGACAATTTATTTGGATACATTTCAGACAACAGTCAATGAGGGGAGCCCTGAATCTCAGGAAATGGTACATGGTTGATACCAGTTGCAATTCCTTTCCACATTCCAGTATAACATATGCTTCACACACAAGGGCACAATTCTGACTATCAAACAAGCATGGAAGCAGCTCGAGTCTGAGAAAGTTTGACGACAATGCAGAAATGCAATATGCAGCAATTTAAAAAAAAACACCAGCAGAGAACACGCCTGTACATTCTCAATAACGAGTATGGATCATATATACCCAAGGTGTGTATACATCTATATAATTATACCCAAGGAAAGTAAAAAAAATCCTTTGCTGCCTCACTGTTGCTTTTGTTGAATGTAAGGAAAGGTTCCTTTCTGTCTTTTTGGGAATAAAGGGGTGGATAGATAACATTATACTGTGAAGAATTTCAATCATTGTTTAAAAATAATACTGTGCAAATGTATTCTTTGCTGCAGGGCTTTAAGTTTCTTCAGCATGGCAAGACAAAGCTGCCTGCGCACAGATCTTCAGCAATCTGAGTGAAACAGGAGACGGGTTTCAGCAGGAGTATATGGACATATCAAGTTTCCAGCTTTATTCATTGCGTGTGACATACTGACCTGGATCCTGTACTTAAAATTGGGTCAGGTTTCATTTTGGCTCCTCAGAAAAGTTATTTTTCTTGAGATGGCTTGAGCCTGAGACACAGAGCCTTTACAAGAAAACACAACAGACTGAATCAGAATCAGAGAGGTGATTATTTGGATGTTTTATGTGAGAGAAATGAAGAGATGGCCTGTAACAGACACTGCGTTAGTATGTTGTGTTTTGGAAGCAGATCAGATCAGAGAAAGTGAGAAACTCCTTCACCAGTTAGATTAAGGGGAACTTTAGGATGGCCAAATTATACAGTCCCAGAGTGGAATTTAGCCAGGACACCACAGTTAACAGTCCTACTCTCATGAATAGTGCTCTGGTACCTATCATGGTGAAGCAGTCAGAACCTCAGTTTAATGTCTTTTAACAAAGACCCCCACCTCCTGCAGTACTGCCATCATACTGGACTATTGGTTTGGAAAGGGGACACAAGAGGAAGGACAGCCCCCTGCTGGTGTGGCAGTACGTGATGAGTCCCACCACTGCACGTTTTGATATCTGGTTAAGAAAGAGGCCTTTCTCAATTTCCCTTTTACAGAAATAAGAAAAGGCATGAGGCAAAACTATGCTTAAAGCTTGTTGGAATAAGAATAAAAGGAGCCCATCCTGAAATATATTTTCAAAGTTATAATTCTATGAAGTGGTGTCACATTGAAAAGAGGTGACCTAGATAGTTTCAGACATGAACAGTCAAATAGTTTATACTTAATTGACATTTTTAATTCTGCCTCAGGAAAATCATTAAAGGATAAAAAAGTAAGAAACTGGGACAAGAACAATTGTAAGATACTCATTTGTTGATCATTGTCTCTTACCAAGTAGCCTGTAGATATTAACAAAGTGTCTACGACTTTAGTCTCTCTGGGTACAGATGAATGGCAATTGGATTAGCACAAACAGTGTGTTTGGCAGTGAGCAGTGAGCTTTGAGACAAGCAGGACCACTTTAGTTCTGTTAAAATGAGCTTTCGATTACATCAAAGTAAGGTGCCTTGCCTATTCTTGGCCAGCCTGTTTGATTCATGGCCCTGGACTGCAGCCCAGCAATAAAGCAGTTCCTGGGAATCTAGGAACAAACACAGCTCTGCCCATCTTCTCCAGGCACTGAACTAATATTTGTCCTCCACTTTTAGGTTATAAGTGGTAAAGCTATTTATAAATACACACACAGAAAAGAGTCGCCTATCACAAAAATAAATGAGACTTCCAACTATAAGAGACTACAGTATGTGAACATTGATCTTAGAACGTCTGCTTATCTGGAGGTAAGGCTGTTAAAAATACACTTACGCACAGTCTGGGTCGACTGGCAAGTTCATTGATGCTGTTTCAATACTGACACATTGAAACAGCTTGATATGAGTGAAGGACGATGCAGTGTGACCACTGCACTGTGGAGAAGTGAGCTGGTAGTTCCTGCAATATCCCAAAACTGTATCCTGTCCTACTCTGCCACTGTAGGATTTACCATGATTTCCCTCTGGTGTCATTGTTGTGGTTCTCCTTTCGCTGTAGTATGTTACAGGGAACTCTGAAAGGAGAAGTAGCATTACTAATGCTCCTGTACTAGATAGCCCAGTAGATCTGCAGAATCCATGAAAAATACCACCACTTAGTGTTTCTGTGTAGCCGGGGGCCTTGAAAATGTGCAATTAAACTACAGAGTGACTTTAAATGCTTGTTCCTTCTAACTTAACTGACTTTCTGCTTGCAGCTCTGCTGCCTGTTTAACTGCCGTGTTTAGTGAGCTCACAAAAGGGCTTCAGGATGGAAAACTCATAATGGTCCCGTCTTGGAAGGGCTCTCCCTCCCCCTGGAGGGAAATGAGTTAGAAAAAACAAGTGATGTGTGATCCGTTCCTGCAACAGGCTTGCCGCTGGCTTACAGGGGTGCCATTGGCCTCCCGGGTCTGTTGTGGTCTTCAGCTATGGGCTCCTGCGAACATTCAGTGTTTGTGAGACTTGCTCTACCTGTGA